GTACCAGTGATAAGCCCACAACACTTAAATACTTGTGAATTTTGATCAAATGTGAGAGGCCCTGGAGAGGTTTGTAGACACACTTCTGCACTGAAGTTCATAAACAACAGCTGTCTCTTTCCTTCCTTCTAATCCTTAATAGACGGCAGGGGAAGATCTCTAAGAGCTCTTGGTAAGGGACAGGGTGACTTTGAAATGCAGTTAAAATGTGACTGCTGCTTTCCACTTTTCCTTCAGAAGCCATCATCTGTGTTGGACTTTGGTCTTCTAATAGCAAAAAGCTTGTGAATGGTACATAGATTTTGGGGAAAAAAAACAGAAAAACAAAACAAAACAAAAACAAAAACCTGCATTCATGGGAGCTATTGAGACTGAGAAAACAGGTCTGTCTGCTTCTGAAATGATTGATGGACAGTGAGTGGTCTTCCTAAATTTTTCACCTCCCTTTTCAGTTAAAACAAAATAAAAGTCACAACCTTGTGTGTCCTTGTTTTCTTGTATGTTGTATCATCATCATAATTTAAGCATTTCAGGTGAACTGTTGTCTCAGGCACAATCCCCAAAACCACCCTACTGCTTCACATGCATTTCCGTGCTTTTTAATGTGATAGAAATGCTATGACAGGGAATTATAACTGTGCTGGAGCTAGAGAAAATGTTCTATTGAGTTGGGAAGGGAGAAGGCGGTATGTGGAGAAAGGGCCTGCCACCTTAGCAAGGGTGGGCTTCTCACTGTGGAAGTGGGTGCTGTATCCTTTAACAGTAAGTGAGCTTTAAAAGAGATGAGTGTCTTTTTTTTTTCCCCTCTTGCTTTCCTTGGATGTAGGTTACTCTTGGTTATTTTGAGGTGAAAATATAATTAAAAAAAAATGTTTGAGAATGATAAAAAGCTAATTCTGCAAACGCAAGTTCAGTGTTCGTAAGTGGAACATTGCTGCGCATTGTTTTTTAGGGTGAGAGTGTTCTATGAATGTTAATGAATTTGTCAGGAAATCCAAAGCTGTAGTTAAAAATCACTTTAAATTGGGGCAGGGGATGATTCTGTTAACTTATGCACTCATCTAACTTTTGCCTCTGAGTGCTGATTACGTATATGCTTGTTCTAGTAAAAAATAAACAGAAAACTCTTCAGTGATATTCTGCTTGATACAGGCTAAATATAGGACTAGTAAAGATGTCTTGAGGTTTGAGGAACATGTAGAATTTGAGATGTGAGTATGATGTTTTGAGGCAAAAGGAACTTCTGTCTTAGTTAAAACCCTGGAGTAAAGAGAATCACTTGCTAAACAAGCGATTTCCTTTCTGCCTGAGGTGAGATTATAGTTGGGAAAACAAACACTAGATACGTGCTTCTAGTTCTTCAGTGTTGCTCATATACATCTCATTATTCAAATAAGACTTTACTGAAGTAATTTGAATATTAAACATTAAACACATTTCTTCTTGTATGCATCTTGTGATCTCTGTATCTTCCATGCTAACTTCAGTGAAGCGTAGTCTTAGCTGTTTACCTCTGACTGTTTAATTGCTGCTTTTCTAAGCACTGTAAACTTTTTCAGTGATATTTTCCTCCTTCCTTCTATTCTTCCTGGCAAGTAAAAAGAATCGGTTAATGACTTCTTAAAAGCATACAATGAAACAAAAAATAAACCCCTACCCTGGAAACAGTAAGCTTAATTTGAGCAAATTCAGCCCTGCCATAGTACATGTGTTGCATGCTTAATGTTGAAACGCAAACAGAATATCTTTTACTGCACATTTATCTTGGAACTAGAGTAGGAGATTAACTGTCATACTAATGAAATCTAAACTTGAGATTTTTGGAGTTATTTTTTCCAGTGTTAAAGTATAGGGTAAAATAACTAAAAGCTGAGTTCTAGTTTAAAAGATAATTTTAAAAGTCTTAAAATTGAAGACCAATGTGTTGGGAGTTGTACTCTTAACTTTAGTTTGCAGTATGTTAAAATAAATGAGTTCTTACCATAAATGTATTACCAAGTATTATTTAAACAGGTTTACTTTTGTCCATAACTCCATGTGATCTCAGCAAGGTTTAAAACCAATGAAGGCTCAAGACCTAAGTGCAAGTATAACAGTACACCCGAAGCTGTCTTTTAAAGAAAGAATTTTTGTAGTGATTGTACTGATGTGTACTGCTGCTAAAACAGTGCCCTTTTCCCAGTAGGCGTGGAGAAAACACCAGGTTTTGTGATCTTAGACCTCTGTATCTCCTCTATGTTTTCATGTAACATGTGACTGTAAAGGCAATCCTGTCTAAGTGGGAATTCTGCTGAAAAGCAGTATTTATGCTGCGTTAATTTTCAACAAGGTCACCTCCCCCATTGTTTTTGTGGCCGCTGCAGCACTGTGAGGCAGATGTATCAGCCATCCCAGGGATTTACACTTGTACATGTCACTTGTGAAATGACTTAGGCAGCAGTTCTGCTTGCCATTTATATGTGTGTTTATTGACCATTTGGCAACATGACTCATATCACTGATACTGAAAGGATTTAGCAGTGAAGGGGAGGTTTTGGGAGTGGCTCTCATGGGGAAATATGGATGAGTGGTTCTACTTGGGCAGTTAAGAATAGAATAAGTCACTGTGAGTTTTGAAGAATCCAGTAGTTACTCTGTCACCTAAGTGATCAAAATAGATAGTTCTTTCTCCTGCTCTCCGGAAACAACGTTACCATATCAGCAATGCTGCAGCATTCGTCTTAAAACTAAGTATAAGGTCAAAATGAAATAACTTAAAATGCTTGACTGTCCTGTGCTTTCAGAAATTCTAATTCTTTTTTCCATTCACACCTCTCTTTATAATTTGCAGTTGGCTAAAAGCAATTCTTTATTTTGGCATCTTCAGTCTGGTTTGTTTTTTTTTTTTAAATTTGAACTGACTTTGTTAAAATGTAACACAGTATAAGAATCCCTGATCTCTGAATCCTTATGTACGTGAATTGAAAAGTAATTGGTAGATGGTAGAATAGTAAATCCTTGGAATTGTTTATATTCTAGCATTTTTAAAAGCATTTTAGGAAGTAATAATGGATTATGAACTTTGAGATGAACAGAGAGATTAGTTGTACTGGCGCAGGTATATGAGAGCTCCCCAGATGATTGACTGCTGCTTTCTCTCGGTTGTTGCTGCAGGTACCTGTGTTCAGTAGCTATAAATTGCTCTTGCTGGGACAAGCTCTCAGTTGCTGCACTGCACAGATGCACAGTGAAATGGGGTGGAAAATTGTGCTGCCTGATTTTAGTGAAGAGCAAAACCAAATGTGCTGTCAACCTTTGTACAGCAGTAAAAGTTTATGGTTGAATTAATGAGCAGCTTTTTAAACTGCAAACCAAGTCTCTCCAAATGTGTGATAACTTCAGAAAATGTTTTGTTGATTTAAAAACACATGGATGTGTACCATCACTGTTAGAAATATTTAAAACCTCAGGTTTTGGTAATAATTTATTTCTGTAGATGGAAACAAGCAACAAAGAGTATTGTAGAATTCTAAGTGTGTTTTGCATTAGAACAATTTTAAGTGGCATTTTTTTTTTCTTTTAATACAATACTGATTTAACGTTTCTATGTTCTGTGACAGCATTTTTATGATAAATAAGAATTTTGGTTCCCTGTAGACTATGTTTTAAGGTAGTTGAGTTCCCAAATAAAGTTTCAAGTCAGTATTATTTCTGCTCATGTGAATTTACTGGTTCCTTTTATTGTCAAACGTTGTATTTCTGTGAGGACAGCTGATTGTCTTACCTAGTTGATGTTTTTCCAGTGCATAGTATGGGCACAGATGTGAGGGAGTAAAAGCTGTTAAGTAATAGTACAGGTGGCAGAGGAAATACCTTTTTGCAGTTGACTGTTAGTAGTTCACTGAGAAGTGGAAAAAATAGTTCTATGGTTTTGAGTGTAGCTGAATCTTGATTTTTACAAGAAAAGCAACCATCTAAACACGTAATAAACCATGAATTACATGAATTCAAGGAAGCAACAAATTAATATGGTGTGCTGGCTGTTTTGAGATGGACTGTGCTAGTAGAAAAAAATCTTAATTTTTCTTTTCTAAGAAGATTAAATAATATGAAGGAGAGTTTTTTTAATTTTAATATGTTTTTATTGATCTAGTGGTTTTATTATTATTATGATCCTTTTACGTATTAGCCTCAAGAAAAACCCACATTGTAGGACTTACAAAATCTGAAACTTACATGTGATCATAACAGGAGTGGTTGCTTGTTTAGCTGGTCATTTCAATTCTGTTCTGAACAGACCTAATAATCTGCAGACGTTATAACCAGCTAGTAGTGATAGTACCACGATACGCAGGTTTTCTTTAGTAACGGTAGATAGAATAGATTTACTTTACTTGAATTTTTAATGTGTTTCCGGTTTTAACAAAACCAGGTTCCTATCTTAGAAGAGCTCTGAAGAAAAGAATGCCTGTTTATTTATGGATCTGAAAATAATTCAAGCAAAGAGAAGTAGTCTAGATTTAGTAAAGATAACATCCTGGCTACTTATTGCTAATTCTTCCAAACCTGTGGGCATAGTGTGAAACCCTTTTTGAAGGATTTGTTTTCAGTACTTTCTTTATGCTCTTGTATTTGTCGTATGTCTGTTGGTTGCACTCAGTTGTGAACTGTTGTTGAATGTCTTGTCCAAGACCATGACTTTAAATAAATATGGTAAAGTACTTGGTAATAATGTGCTAGGCTACTTAGAATAGAGAGAATAGAGATAGACCAAGTGTGCATATATAAAATATATACTTCCAGTATGTTATTTTGGAGGCAATGGCATTAGTATTTCTAAGTGTTGGACATGTAAAGTTACGCTTTTTTAAAAATAAGTCTTCATCGTTGCTAACAAATAGTTGTGGAATTATAGTTGGGTGAGTTTCAGTTGTATTCAAGTACAGTAGTTTCAAAATTAAATCCACTAAAGCTCACCTGGAGTGTGTTTAACTGTAATTTGGTGTGTCTTGCCCCCTCAGGAGGAACAGGCTGCTAAACTGAAAGCTGAGAAGATTAGAGTGGCATTAGAGAAGATTAAAGAGGCACAAGTGAAAAAGGTAAATTATTTATGCTGTTTTAAGAGATTTTTTAATACTTTTTCACCTGGAAAATGCAGGCACAATACTTCTCATTTGTGTCTATTACCATTAAGATACCTTAAAGAAAACAGGAATGCTGTGGTGTTCTGATCTAGAGTGATAATGTACCTTTTCATCTAGATGCCAGACAAAAAATCCTAGCATATCTAATACAAATATGTTTTGCTTAAGGAATTTTGCAGCCAGTGTGCTGTTAGAATAGCTTGCCGCCACAACTGAAACAAAGATTTAGCCTCCTGAGACTGTTCTGAGTATTAAGCACTCTCACCTCAAAATGTGAGTTTCTTCACATATCCCTTCTTTACACACGTGCGTTGTTGGATTTTCCAGTGATAAACAGAATGCAAGCATTTCAGATTACAGAGAGAGGTTACAAAGTGAAGGAAGTCTGACATGACCTGATGCTATATCAAAGATTTTAAGGTGTTCCTTCCAGGTTTAGCCTTCTTAGTTTAATTTTGAAGCATTTCGGTAATTATGTCTTTGTTTAGAGTTTACAAATCAAAACCTGAAAAAATGTCCTGAGTTGGAAGATGGGAATTGGCAATTAGTAGTACCAGAGTAATACCAGTGTATTACAACTACTGCGTTTTAATTTTTGCAGCTGAGCAAGAAGTAAAAAGGAAGCAAGCAGCATAATGTTTAGCAAGAAAAATCTATTGACTTCAAATTATTTTTATTAGTTGAAAAAATAACTGCATTTTTCTTTCTGGGCAGTGACCTCTTTAAAGTGGACCTTTTTAAAAGCCCCTGTGTTTTAAAAGTAGATTTGTTGTATGCTAATGGTTAATGTCTTCAGGAAAATAAGGCAGTATAGGTATGCTGCATATGAGATCAATGTTTTTAGAAAATAGGGGAAAAGCAGGCAGAAAGCTCGACTTGCAAATCTGAAGAAATACATTCTGTGCAAGTTTGTGCATAATTCTTGAACTATGCTTGTGCCACCTACACCGGTGAGAAAATTGTCACTCAGATGTTTATGGGTTTTTATGTTTTGAGGAGAATGTTGAATGATCTGAATATTTTATGTTATTTAACAAAATCTTAGAAAAAGAAACAAGGCCTTTAAAAAAAAAAAACTTGAAATGTAGAAAATGTGGTAAGTTGAACCTCTTCGTGTTCTTCTGTTTTTCTGTTCAATAGTTGGTGATCAGAGTCCACATGTCTGATGACAGCTCAAAAACAATGATGGTGGATGAGAGGCAGACAGTGAGACAAGTATTAGACAATCTGATGGACAAGTCACACTGTGGTTATAGTTTAGACTGGTCATTGGTGGAAACCATCTCTGAATTGCAGATGGGTAAGTAATTTATTTATAAACGTTTACAATTCTTATCTTTTGATGTGGTGCTTATGCATATCTGTGTCTTCAGAATAATTTAAATTCTTAACTTCATAATATTTATTATCCAGCTAGGAATCTTGTTTCATCATCAAGAATTTGTTTGTCAGACTATAATTCTGCATGAATTCTACCACATGTTGTTTCAAATGGACATGGGAATGTTTTCTTCCGTGATATTAAAACGATGTCTAAATCTGAAGGTTTGATAGAGGAATTTTAGTAATATCTAGTCACTGAGCCTCTTGGTTTTTGTTGTGTTCTTCGTATAAGATTGTGACAAGGAATTAAAAAAAAAATAAATCTCACCATACAAAAAAGTCTGTTAGAGGATAACTCATTATTCTATGAATCTTAAAGGTCTCACCCAGACCTTATTAACTTCCTATGTTGTTCCTCTATTATCTTAAATCTTAGTTCATTCCCTACAGATGACATTTTATTGCATTCACTCTTCTTAGTATTCTTAATTACTGAGGATTTTGAGTTGTCCTCTGTCATCTCAATCTCCTTTAGTAAGAGCTCCTTGATCTGGACGTGGTGAGTGCCATATGATCTCTGTAAAAATGTGGTGTAATTGATTTGGAGAGGAATATGTTCTGTTTTAAGAGGCTAATTATATGTTAAGTCTGTCCCAAAGAATTCTGAAAACTGTTTTGCCTAAGTGACACTATGGCCTATATGAAAAGGGAAATAATTGTTGAGAGCAAGATGTTACTTGAGAATCTTTTAAAGAAGAGTACTGGTCAGTGATTTCCCAAAGATACATTCTTAGGATAAGAATTTTCAGGTATTTCTCTACCACTTCAGTAAATTTTCCTCTTTTTAAAAATTCCTCTCTTCGTTTTTGCTGATTTTCAGTGTCCCATACTGGTGATAACCTTCTCAGCAGAGAGGCATAGTCCATTTTCCAAATTCTTCTATCATACCCCTACTATGGTTATCTTATGTTTCAGAAAGAGTTTGTTTTCCCTCTAATCATTGCTTATTTCTTTGTTTTGACACTTTGAGTGAGATAGCAACTGGGGATGTAGATACAAAATTAATGCTGAAAAAGCTGCCTAATAAATCCCTCTAAGAGCTCTGTGAACCAGAGTTACATATAAATGTGATTGCTTTTTTTAATTTGTTCTTACAACATGTCAGATATTGTTATTTGAGTTTGTTGTATTCATGTGGGATAGTTAGCTTTGTCAAGTTCAACAAATGGCTTATTCAGGCTTATTATACTGATGGTTACATAAGCCTGAACAGAGAGAAGTGACAGCACTGTGTGTGTGTGTGTGTGTGTGTAAAATTAAGCCTAGGCACTTACGAATGTTTACTAAATTCTTTTTAGCTTGTTATAAATTTCTCCCTCATTTTAGTAGGTCTTGAAGTGTATTTTCTTTACGTGCCTCATCTCCCCGGTGAAATTAGTGTAGCTTATTTCACAGTAAGTGACAGATTAAAATGTTTGCTCTTTTATTATTGCTGCAGAAAGGATCTTTGAAGATCATGAAAATTTAGTTGAAAATCTTCTCAATTGGACAAGAGACAGTCAAAACAAACTAATGTTTGTGGAACGCATAGAGAAATACGCACTTTTTAAGAATCCCCAGGTAAGCCTGAAGCTTGTGTTGAGTGTATGTATGTGTATGTCTGATTGCAATTTCATAATACTTTTGTTAGCATTCATTTTAATATTTCTATTTTGATATTTGTGTATATATAAAAATGCCAGGCAGCTTTACTTCTCAGTGCCATATACATCCATGCTGTGATTGATACAAGATTAGATGCCTAACAGAAAAACCTGAGCTGAAGCTGTTTCCTAATGTATTTGAGAGCAATTTTAATGGTGATAAACGCAGACAGTTTCATGGCAATTGTACTTAGTGCTGTTCACAAAAATAAGTATACAAGTGAGGTATTGGCAGGTATTTCTGTGAGTATTGCCACTCCACTGTGTTCTTTCTTTACTGACAAGGTGAACATTCTGAAGAGAATAGCCACACACACTATGGTCAAGTGACACAAGAGGAGGATTTATACTTCCCTGTGAAAGTTGGGACTTGCCTCTATTCATCTATGTTCTCTGTTTAGGAAACAAAAGGGTCTTCTCCTTCCTTGGGAATTGATTATTGAGGGATGATAATGGAGATTTTGAAATGTTAACTACATATTTGATATCCAGCAGCAGTTCGTTACCAAGGAGGCAGCTCTTTGAACAATTTGGAACTGAAAAGCATTGCATATACCATAATTTGATTTTTATAACTCTTAGTAACGACTTGCCATTTGAGGTCATGGATTATTTTTATATTGGTATAGCATTTATGTGGTAACTTCTTGGATCTGGACTCCCTATTTACCTAGCAAGCTGAGTAGCAATTTTGCATGGACATCCTTTTGGACACTGTAAATTTACTTTCAAGCAAAAATTGAAAACGGGGTCTTACTCTAGTACTTTGTTAGGAAGCTGCAAAACTCTGCAAAAAAAATTGTTTTAAGACTATGTTGTTGATAAACATTTACTACATTACATGTATTATGCACTGTCAAGACCACAAGACACCAGTGTAAAATCAATTTTTTAATACACATATTTCACCTTTATTTGAAGGCTTGATCTGAAACTTATGAATATTGTTTTCTTTTTTTTCCAGTAAGAGCTAGAGGTTAGGAAGGTTTTCATTGTCTCTATCCTCTCCAAGCTGAGCAAAAGCATAGGAGTAGTTCTTAAATAAGATAGAGTACCTGTGCTTAATAGTTCTTTTCAATAAGACAAGGAATACTTAGTAATTCTTTGTGACATGTTTTTATTCAGAGAAATTATCAGCACAAGGTGAAAAGACGTGCATTTCTTCTGCGTGTGCTTCTGTCAACACGCAATAATGTCAAGATTTAACACGTTTTAGGATTCTGTGGCATTTTCAAGTTCACACTACTTTTATTTCTGGATATGTACACCAGTCAGCTTGCTGTGTGGAAAGCCAGGAAAACATTGTTATGAGACTATTGCTTTAGGATAAGCGTTGGAACTGATTGGTACTTCTGGAAAAGGTGGTTGTTTATTAAGTTCCATGTATGATTTAGCCGTCTGATAGTTTCAACTGGATTATAAAGTTTTGTTTAATTAGAGTATCATTCTTAACACCTTTTTTCTTACTCCTACAGAAAGGCAATTGAGAAATGTTATTTGGCTTTATTTCAGAATGCCTATAGAAATCCTGACCTTTCTCTTGTTACAGAACTATCTTCTGGGGAAAAAAGAAACCTCTGAGATGGCAGACAGAAATAAAGAGGTGCTGCTAGAGGTGAGACTGCCAAAACAAAAAGAACACCAGCATTTGAAACGAAACTCTAAAATTTTGTGGTTATTGAATCTAATGGATGGATCTGAATGGGAAAATGGAATATGTCACATTTGAGGAAAAATAACTATTTTAATGTTACTGTATTTCATATAAAATAGGTTACTTGAAATGTGTCTTTATTTTCTTTGACAACCAAAATGAGGTTACCTGTAATGGTGGTTAAACACAGTTGAAATCTGGAGAACTACTGCTTATCTGTTGACCTGAGATTTTTTTTAGCACCCTCCAAATTGTTACTCTGTACAAAATGCTGTAGTGTTGGTTCAGTGACGAGTCCATGTTAGAATCTTAAGTTTTATTAATAAACTAAGTAGTTAAAAACAATTTCAATTACATTTTAAAATAAACCACTAAAAATTAGATTTAAAAAGTGAGCGACAGAAAGGGAAGTTACATAATATTGAACACATCAAATAATTTACAGAACTAAGGACAACAAAAAAGGAAGCGTGGAGCAAAGAGATCAAACAAATTATAGCATTCATAAGCTGAAAACAAAATAATTTTGTGACATTTTTGTAGAGACATACCTATGCTGAAGTGTGATAGCTTCCACTTGATCATACTGCACAGAGAAAGACCTTTCCTTATTAAGTGTGCATTCCTTAGGTGTAGAATTTCAGTCTTGATAAAAAGCAAAACAAAACACTGCATGCTGTACGTTCTCTTTCTGTCACTTTCCAAACCACAGTTTTTTTTCTACAGGAATGTTTCTGTGGAAGTTCTGTAACTGTGCCAGAAATTGAAGGAGTTCTGTGGCTGAAAGAAGATGGTAAGAAGTCTTGGAAGAAACGTTACTTTCTTCTACGAGCTTCAGGAATCTACTATGTTCCTAAGGGGAAGGCAAAGGTAGGCTATTTTAAAGCAATTTATCTGTCTTGTTTATTTACCTGTATTGTTTATTGTGCACAAGAGTCAGCTTTATTAGCTGTGCCCTGCCCAGAGCTACATCCTTTAATTAAAAGTGCAGCTTTATTGTGCAAGTGAATTATAGATTTACTATAAATTACTGTGGTGACACTTGATATGAATTGTCTAACCCCACATTTAAAAATGCAAGACAACAGGGGTCTGTTTTTAGAGTGAGTTTGGGGTTAGGTGGTCAGAAATACCCAAGATTCACCGAGATTAATTAACAGCAAATGTAAAACTTCCCAGTCAAATCAGTCCTGTTTAATCCATTCTGATACCAACGCTGAGTAATTATTAGCAGTCTGCTGTAATTGGTTGTCAAGAGACAAAATACAAATGAACACACACAAGACAGAATTTGAAAAAGAATATCCTGATTAAAAAAAAATTCTGATGGAAGAGTTTATACATGGCTGTATTTCCTTGCTGTACTGGTAGTGTTAGAATCAGATTGAAACTAATGATAGTATTATATTAGTATTGAATCTTAACACTAGAGTGGTTTGATTTTTTTTTTTTATTTTTTTTTTTCTTTCAGTGCCTGTGGTTTTCGTATGTAGCTGTTTTGTAAATTAGTATTTTTGTACTTAATAGGTCTCGCGGGATCTCGTGTGCTTTCTACAGCTAGATCATGTCAATGTTTACTATGGACAGGACTATCGGAATAAATACAAAGCTCCCACAGACTACTGCTTAGTGTTGAAGGTAAGAGAATAGTTGTTGCGTGTTCTCTGTGCTCCTCATGACTTTGTAAATGTTTACATATTGCTCTGAATTGCCAGACTGATGACTTGTAGGCTATTTAATCGTTCTTTTTGTTCTCAAGTATAACATCAAAATCCTTGGCAGCTGCCTTACAGCAATGCAGATTTAGTGGATTTAATGCTCTTTGAAACACTAATGTCAGGGTTTTCCTGTCTTCTCAGAGGATAGGTTCAGAGTTGTGCAGAAATTGGTATTAGTGTCAAGCCTACCCATATTGCCCAACCTGGGGAGACAGGTTGTAAAGGAGGAAACTTCTTAGTATAAAGACAAATAGAAGTACAGGTAGAAAAAACGTTACGAAATCAATGATCTAATCTTAAACCGTAGGATTATTAGTTAATGCTTTTGGTCGTTTTAGATTGCATCAATTTCATAGAATCATAGTGTAGTTTGGGTTGGAAGGGACCTTTAAGATCATCTGGTTCCAACCCTGCTGCTACCAGCAGGGACACCTCCCTCCAGACCAGGTTGCTCACAGCCCCATCCAGCCTGGCCTTGAATGCCTCCAGGGAGGGGGCATCCACAACCTCTCTGAGCAACCTGTTCCAATGTCTCATCACCCTCACAGTAAAGAATTTCTTCCTGATATCTAGTCTAAATCTACATTCTTCCATTTTAAAGCCATTTCCCCTCCTCCTGTCACTACTTGCCCCTACAAAAAAAAAAAAAAAAAGCAACAGAAACCTTCCTTAACTCTCACACATTGTTCAAAATAGTGTTAGTTCTTGCAAGATAGCGAGCTACAAAGGTATTCAAAATATTTTCACCGTATGTTCGTAGCAAGTAAAGTATTTTCATGAATTTGAAAATGGTGCAAGTAACAAGATAGTTACAGTTCAACTTAAATTTTCCTTCTAACTTTTATCATCTTGTCTCATGTGGTGCTGGGTACTGACATCAGTACATTAAAATGGTTGTTGTGCCTGGAGTGTGTGGCTGCTAATCTGTGATGTGAAAAAAACGTGTTGCCTTTCTTTTAACAGAGGGCAAAATATTTGGTCCCACTGACAGGTAGATATCAAGTTTGGGACATGAGATTAAGGAAGAAGACATAAAATTGAAATTGGAAATATTTTCTGTGTTCTTACAAGTCACTGGAATAGTTAATTGAATGCAATTAAATGCAAAAATACCACTGTTTATATGTATTTATAAGTTACTTGTATAAAATTGGTTTCTTATGATTGTATGCCACTTCCTATCTATATCATTTTTACAGATGGAGTGAATTATTTTTTCAAGTTTATTGATCACCCAGCATAAACCGGAGTTGTATCTCAATAGATTAAAAAAAATAATAATTTATTACTGTCATGAGCATAAGGGAAGATGTGAGAATGTTGAAGTTAAATTTTTAACATTAGTTAAAAATTTTAGGAGAAGAGTGTCCTCCACACTACTAATATCGGTGCGAGGGAATATTGAAAGACTTATTTGTCTCCCTCCAGTGGTGGTTAGTCCGTAGAGCAGTAAAGGAGACAACTCTTTACGCTTTGGCTGTCTCTTGCTTGCAGTTTTTTTTTTTTTTTTTTTTACAAGCTGAGACTGTTCTGACTACTTGGCTTGAGAGTAGAAACATGTATGAAGAGCCTCAGGGTTCAGAAGGCTCTGTAGGTAGGTAGAAGGTGTAGAACTAAAATACTGGAAGACTCGCCCTTTCCTAGTGTTTCATACCTGAAATCTATGCTCACTAGACATGCTGCCAATCTCTGTGTAAAACAGTTCCCCCTACCTCCTGAAATGCTTTCAAATATTTGTAAGTGAACTCAAAACATGTACTACTATTCAAGAGCTTCCAGCAGTAAATTTGTCTTTATAAAACTTAGCAATTAAATAGCTCTACTTACCTTCCTATCCATTAAAGTAGCGGTAATGGTTAATGTTTTTATGCAGCATCCTCAGATCCAGAAGAAATCCCAGTATATCAAGTATCTTTGCTGTGATGATGTAAGAACTCTACACCAATGGATCAATGGTATCCGCATTGCTAAGGTAACATCCTCCAGCCAGTCTTCCATTGTTGTCGTGGTCTGTATGAAACTATTTACAGTTATTTGGCAAAACACGTGCTAAATCCAGCGTGCCTATACTTAACTGTTCTGAATGTCAACTATATGATCTTCTTACATATTTAGTTCTCTAGAAAAAAATGAACCCTTTCCTTCTATTTCTGATAACCTCAATTGCCAAATGACAAAACTGATATCTTGGCTTAATTTTAGCCAGCTCCCTTAATAGACTTTAAAAAGAAGGCTTGTGGGGGAAAAGAAGAGACTTTGGGTTTGACATAATTGTTTTCTATTATCTCCAGGTTGTGTTAGTTTATTCATTGGCCACTCCTTGCATTATTTTGCTGTCCGTCCTAGCAATTTTTTTTAAATTTCTTTTAGCAATTCATTAATAAAAATGCAAAAGTTTGTGGAGAGGAAACTGCCACTGCTGTTAAGTAAATCAAAATGAAATTTGCACTGAATTAATTATGTGTGAAATCCTTCACAGAGAGCGTGCTTTTTTTGTCTCTGGGTGTTTCTCGTTTCTCTGAGGGGGGAAAAAGGTTGAACAAAGAAGCTAAAGTTGAAGATCAACAGACCAAAAAGGGTACACAGCCTATGTAGTAGTTAAATTTGTTTGTCATTTTGCTTAGTATGGGAAGCAACTGTATATGAACTATCAAGATGCACTAAAGAGAACAGAATCGGCATATGACTGGACTTCCTTGTCTAGCTCCAGTATCAAGTCAGGCTCCAGCTCGTCTAGTTTGCCAGGTAATTATGTGACTTGTCTCTTAATAGAAAGATTTAATTACTTTCTTTTCGTTACCAAATAGACTGGAGACTGTAAACAAAGCTATTTGAGGGGGGAATGGATTATTAATCTAAAAATGTGTTTTATGTTACTTGCAGTGGTGTGTGTTTTCAGAACTTGGAGTACTTTGTCATGCACCTCCAAAAGAGTTTGTTTTTCTGATACTGAGAAGAGGAAGCATCCTTTCAAATTTGTGATGCCTCCGTCTTCATGCATTTGAAAAAAAATAAAAATCCAGCTCTATGCTTTAATGATGCAAATGGCTTTTGCTGACTGACATTTTTTTAAATTGGTAATTGGGAAATAGTCACTGCCTAAAGAGAAAGTTCCAGACAATCTCTCAGAGATTCAGAATGGTGATTCTGCTTCTGGGGCAAATTTTGTATGCCTGCAGGAATATGCTCTGTTATTCTTTTTGTTGTCTAGACAGCAGTCTTCAGTGGGCTGGCTGTGAATGGGAACAGAGTAGTTTGTGGGAACAGTGTCATTTGTTGGAATTAAATGTTTAACAAGTGTGACCTGTAAATGTCACATAGAGTTCCATTATAAGCATGGTGGCTTTACTCTTATGTTCAGAAACATATGCTGTCTCTTTACTTTCTTTTAAACAGAATCTCAATCAAATCATTCTAATCAGTCTGACAGTGGAGTTTCTGACACCCAGCCAACTGGACACGTCCGTTCCCAAAGTATTGTCAGCTCCATGTTCTCTGAGGCCTGGAAGCGAGGCACGCAACTGGAGGAATCCAGCAAGGTAACAAGAAGACTTTAGTTTGAGAATCAACACACAACAAAATGCACAAGACAGAGCATTACCTCTTCCACCTCTGTCTGGAGGGGGGATGGATTTTTTTCATCTTTTTTACTCTATGTTATTTACATACACTGCCATGTAATTGGTTTGGGTTTTTTTGTTTGTTTGTTTGTTTTTTTCCAGGAATCAGTTTTTCAGGGAATTCACTCATAGAACTTTATGTACTTGTTTTTATTGGTGTGCACAGAAGCCTTCTGGTCTTTGAAGGTGTGCAATGGCCCTTCACAATAATCCTATTAATTAGAGTTGTGTAAAGAACAAATTAAAACAATCAGCTGTTAAAAGCTAACAAATGAAATTAATTCACTAAGATTTTCTTCTGTTAACTAGCCACATCTTTCCACTGTAAAAGTGCAGACAACTGAGACCTGAAAGCAGGTACACCTGTTTAAGGCACGTTCTAGTAGTTTCTATTCCAACGTTTGATATTATATTGTGTGGAAATGAAGGCAGTAAACACAAATACTGTTAGGCAGCAGTATTAAAATCGACTTCATATGTAGTTAAAAACAGATTTGATATCTCCTGTTGCTGATAGAAAGTTACAAAAGACAGTAATCCATTTACTCCTGTGGTCTGTGGTGATTTGGTTAGTTTTATGTCTAGTAGTTGACTGGTGTGGTGAATATCTCCACAGACAGCAGAACTGTCCTTTCATCTAGTTGGTTGTCAGGCTCAAAGGAATTTCCTGAACAGCCGTAGTATTGGTATTAACTGCAGCAATTATGTATGGAAGTACATTGGCAGAACGATGCAGGAAGATAACTTCACTCATGCAATTTTGAGTCTTTCTCAGACTGTAGGTTCAAGCTAGTGAAGCAGGCTTTTTAAAAGAAAACCATGGGTCACTACACCTGACATTGGTGCATCAGATGAATAACTAGAAATAAGACACAACATCACATGTACAAATGAAAAAGTACAGGTGGCGCAGTGTGAAAACTGACTTGGCTGTTTTCTTTGAGACCTGTAAATTTTCTGCAGTGTCTGCAGGCTTGGAAATTATCTGAATGTAATAGCAAAGTAGTACACAGCTCAGGAACGTAGCTTGCTAAACTGTGACCCAGATTTTTCTGCTGCATGTGTGCAAAACCTGCTGCATGTTCATCAGCACATGGCTTGTGTATGTGTACAGGATGCATCATTTGTGCAGGGGCTGGGTGGATCAAGAAGACAGGGCATGTGAGCCTGTCTAGCATGTTATCCTACAGAGGTGGAAGAGTACTGCTATGAGACTGTAATGTTACTGTTTTCTGAAGTTTTGGTTTTCATATGAGATCTTGCTTCTGCATTCTATGAAATTCTGGAGAAAAATTGAATTTTAGCACTGTGGACCACTGCTGTTCTTATCTGGTCCATAGTGCCAATGGCAATTGCTCATTTAAATAAACCCCAGTAATTTTTGTTATCTGATTAAAGCATTTTTACAAATAAAATATTCAGACCATTCCCTATTAAGAGCCATCCATGTTTCAAGCTTTCATCAATTGTAATTCCTTTCTATGTACAAATTTACTAAAAGGTGTACTTCTCTTCCTCACACATAGTGCAGGTGAAGGGATCAAACTAAGACATCCAAAGAATCCAAATGAAATTAGCCTTGTAAAATTATAATTTGAAACCATGCTAAGAAAATTCTGAGTAAATTGGTCACAAATTTAACTTAAGAAAAACTACAGTACTTTTTTTTTTTTTTAACCCATGCAGGCCTGCTCCAAGGAAGGGTTAGCAATAGGAAATATTTAACTCTATTACAAGAAAGGAAACAACAGTATTGATACAATTGTAATTTACACAAAAAGGCATTTGCAATTATAGATACTGAGACATGCTGGCTTAGGGAGATTAGTCTCCAAAACAGTATCTTCAGAGTTAGTAATTCTCCAGTGCTTTAGCTTTTGGTGACAGAGCTTGCTTAAGAAATATATAATGGCAGGTTACTGCAAGTTTCAAAATTAATGGAGGCTTGGCTTGTTCAGTATGTCCTTTCCACTTCTGCAACTGTCTCTTCCCCATGTCACCCTTCTCTTACCCTCTTCAATAAGCAGGGTAGAACAGAGCATCTCTTGGCTCAGCAGGTTGATGACGTTGAGGCTGGTTGGGATGTTGCACTGGTTGGCTATGGTTCTGCCTGCTTTTCCCCCATTTAAAGGCACCAATAATTTCACTTCCATTTTTTGACATTGAAAATATACTGAGATTTACACATCTGTCATGTTTGACTGAAATTCGCAAACCAGTCTAAATGCAACTGTCACAACAAGAGACTGCAAACAGTTCAAATGCAGAAAGCTTGTTTACTTAGGAAAAACAGCTAAAGAAACTTCACAGTACTATTTTAAGCAGTAGTTACGGCTATTTTTATAGGATTTCTGGGATTTCCATATAGCCATTATGATATATGATAGAAATACGAATTGAGATAGTATGCAGTGCAGTCAGTCATTTATAAGATACATGGGGCATTGCCTAGCAATAAGGATAAACAAGGACAGTGATCTGTTTCAAGGTTTTTCTATAAGGAAAACCTGATTGAAATTTTTTTCTGATTGTGGAAATGTAATTTGCTTACATGAGAGTGGGAACAGATTGCCATCCTGAGATATGCTAATCTTTCCCGTTTGCTCACTGTGAAAACGACTGTCTTCAATGGATGAGGTAAAGCTAAGATTTAAATAGCCGCCTTTCCAAAATGCCAGTTCATATTTTGAAAGATTATAAAGAACGCTGTGTTCACCTGCACACATTCATCACAGCTGGGCAGTGAAAAAATCTCATTGTCTTGTTTTTCTTGTTAGATTTTGAAATTGTTATTTCAAATGAGATGCTACACATGATGTCAAAAAAAGTTCTGTGTGCTTTATGTGACAAGGCATGAGGGACAGTTCCCTGTTTCAGATTCTCTAAAATCTTGCTGTTCAGAGATAGCTATTCTTTCGCTCAGTCTCCCTATCTGTTTTATGCTGCTTTTATTTTTCCTGTTGCCTTTTGCTGTCCCAGGTATCAAAAGCGAAGCTCGGGACAGCTAAGGTCAGCACACCCGTGGTGCCTTATGCAGGGCAGAATTAAGGTCAGGGGCTGCTACTTGAAAATACATTAACTTGAGTGATTGGGAGAATGGTAATTACAGACTAACAATATGCAAGAGATCAAGATTTCCCCTTGCTTGTGTGAACATGCTGATGTAGCTCCAGAGCTACGTACAGTCTTGCCTTACATGCTTAATATGACAGGTAGAGGCACATCTACATTACTTGTAAATTATTGTTTCTTACTATAATATTTCTGTGTTATTCCTGTGCATATAGAAACTGTGCACCTGTGTTTAAAACAATTGTAAGCAAGCTTATGCAGCACAAATAAGCATAATTGGGCTAATTTGTGGCAAAATATACACCAGTGAAGTTAGGTACTGAGTGTGTTTAGTTGCCGTTTTGGTATTACATTTCTAATGCATGATTTTAAGCTGTGCACTGTGAAGATGACAACTTGTCTTGAGCAAAACCACTTTGTACCAGGTGGTTGTAGTTCTGATAAACTTGAATAATGTCATTATCTTTTTAATTTTTAATAAGAATGTAGGTTTACAATTTTAAAGAAACAATTTAACAAAAACAAAACCCAATAAGTAGACTAAAGCATTGCCTGCTGCTTTTCCATTGCTGTTTCCCTTATAAAAATCTCCCCAGTCTTTCTTTTTTCTGAATAACATAATAGCTGCATGCCTAGCTTTTCCAAGCTAACTCTCTCTAAGCATTTTCTTCCGGGGAAGTTTTCTTAGAAGTCTTCATTACTCCCTCTTTCTGCTCTTTTTTTTTTTTTCTCTCGACAGCGTTTGATGTCAGAGCATGTGGAATAGAAGGATCTCAGAATCTCCATAGAGCTTGCTCTTCATGTGTTTTAGAGCAGTTCAGGATTTCTGTGCTCTGTAATGCTAAGCAGTGTTAAGGCCTAAGCTAACAACATGAAGGCTTGCCAGATGCTCAGGGAGACCTGGCTATGGTTTTACTCTAGTTTTACTGAGTGAAGAAATGCCTGCAGGCTCTTGATCTGCATGGTGTCATTTGTTGTGGACAGGGGCACTCTGGGCAATGTTCAGTTTGATTCATTATGCTTGCTCCCAGGAGGATCAGTGATTCTCACTTGGTACAGCTGTCCCCCAGAACAGCTCCCTGCTGTTAAGCATAGCTTGGAGTAGACCTGGCTCCGGTGATTCTTGCCAGCTCCCCCTACTGGCTTGGCTGGCCGTACTGTACAGTTCAGGCTTGTCAGTGTAAAGGACTATCTCTTGCTGCATTGTTTTCCTAATATTCCTGCATGCTATAATCCTGCCACTTAATTTTTAATGATAGGCACATTTAGACCTTGACTTCATAATCTCTTTGTCTCCCTCCCTCCCTCCCTCTCTCTCTCTATCTTTTTCTCCCTCTCTACTTTCACTAAAAATCCCTTCCCAATAGGCGCGAATGGAGCCTGCAGGTCGGCCCTTCATCTCTGTTGCACCTCCTGTGTCCCCACAGACAAAAGTGGTGACCCCCTATACAGCATCACAGCCATCTCCCCCCCTTCCCCCTCCTCCCCCTCCTCCTCCTCCCCCCCCACCTCCTCCTCCTCCTCCCCCACCTCCGCTCCCCAGCCAGGCCGCCCCATCTGCTGCCTCACCTGCTGCCATGTTTGTTAAGTACAGCACCATCACCAGGTTGCAGAATGCTGCCCAGCACGGTGGGCCTTTTTCCAAGGCCCCTGCTGCTGCGCAGCAGCCCCCCCTGCCCCCTCCGTCCTCTGGCAAGCCTCAGATACTGGTACCGCCCAATGGAGTCATGCCACCTCCCCCCCCTCCTCCTCCTCCCCCCACACCAGGCTCAGCCATGGCACAGCTGAAGCCGGCACCTGTTGCCCCCTCTGTACCACAGTTCACACCTCCACCGCCCCCTCCCAAAATCCACCAGGTTCAACCAAATGTAAGTCAGGCTGCTGCTGCCTCACCGTTGCCACCACCTCCTCCCCCTGTGCCTGCCCCACCACCACCCCAAGCACCCCCAAAGCCTCTCATGACAGCTCTCCCCCCACAGCCTAGCAGGAAGGCAGCATCACCGGGGGTCTCGCATATCACCCCCCCTGTGCCAGTTCCCTTGCCTCTTGCAATTAAGAAACAGCCAAGTGTCACATCTCCCCAGGTGCCTCCGCTGCCCCCGGCCCCTCCAGGCCCCACTCCTCCCCCAACATTTCCAAAGCAACAGAGTTTTTCTATGAAGCCTCCCCCATCACCTCAGTCCCCAGTGCCGTCAGTAGTGAAGCAGATAGTCAGCCAGTTCCCACCTCCTCCCACCCCACCTGCCACTGAGCCCCAGCCTCTGAAACCCCTTCCATTGAGTGTGGCTCCCCAGTCACCTCCAGCAGTGAAGGCAAAACCCAAATGGCAGCCTGCCTCTGCTCCCTCACCGGATTTCCCACCTCCTCCACCAGAGAGCAGTTTAGTATTTCCTCCTCCACCTCCTTCCCCAGCTACCTCTGCAGGTTCTCCCCCTCCTGACAAATCAGGGTCTCCAGTCAAAAAGACCAGCAAGACATCAAGCCCTGGAGCAAAGAAACCGCCTCCAACACCTCAGCGGAACTCCAGCATCAAGTCCACCAGCTCCACTGAGTACAATGAGTCCAAGAGACCTTCGGTGGACCGCCTTGTCAGCAAATTTGCACACCCACCAGAGCCATCAGGGTCTCCATCAAAGGAGTCATCACCTCCTGTGGCCCCTCCAAAGCCTGGAAAGCTCAATCTCTCTGGCGTGAGCTTGCCCATTGTCCTTCCACAGGGAGGGATCCCGGCCAAGGCTCCTGCTCCAGGTGTATCTGGGAAGGAACCTATGGTTGAATTTCCTTCTCCACCATCGGATTCAGACTTTCCACCACCACCACCTGAAATAGATCTTCCTCTCCCCCCTGTTGAGATACCATCTGTGTTTTCAGGCAGCACTTCTCCAAAAGTTGCTGTGGTCAACCCTCAGCCTCAGGCGTGGTCGAAACCATCAGTTAAAAAAGCTCCGCCACCCACACGTCCTAAGCGGAATGACAGCACTCGGCTGACACAGGCAGACGTCGCGGAGTCATCGGCAACACCTGGCCCCCAAGTGCCCACTTCACCCAAGTCTAGCCTTAGCGTTCAGCCAGGATTCCTGGCAGACCTCAACCGGACGCTGCAGCGGAAATCCATCACCCGGCACGGCTCCCTCTCCTCTGCACGGATGTCCAGAGCAGAGCCCACTGCCACCATGGACGACATGGCCTTGCCGCCGCCCCCACCAGAGCTTCTGGCTGACCAGCAGAAGATGAGCAGTTTCGGCGGCAGCCATATATCTGGTTATGCAACACTACGGAGGGGGCCACCCCCCGCGCCTCCCAAAAGGGATCAGAACACTAAGTTGTCACGGGACTGGTAGTCGGTTACCTGGGGCTGGTGCTCTCCATGACTTGTGGGCTGCTCTGTGATCAGCCAACCCGTGATGTTGTGCACTTGGAGAGAATGTGGGGACATGGATAATAGCCTTGTCATAAGAGGTGATCTCAAACTGTAGCCAAGGCTAAAGATAGAGACATTCCCCCTTCATGGCTAGGCCAAAACAGTTGGGGGCTGGGGTTGTCAGTATTTTATTGGGGGAGGTGGGTAGAGAGGCATTGACTTAACGTTTTCGATTTCTTTTACCCTTCATATGGATTGGACCAAAATCCCTTTTTCTTACTTTTTCTGCATTTGGGGGGAAGATAATTTTTTGTAGTGTCTGTCCATGTGAGACATGTTTGTGCATGTATTATAAGTGTAGGTATATAATATATTGTGATATACTTCATTGCAATTATAGAAGATAACCAGAATGTTTTTGTAGATCCGTATTTATTGTTTCAGTCGCTATATTATTGGGAATCAGACTCTGTAACCAGTCCAATCTGATTGTAAAGATGAAACTGTCGGGGGCACTTTAAAGAAAGGAGAAAGGAGAAGAAAAAAATAGAAGCAGGGAAAAAAAAAAAAAACAACAATTTGGCAGTTTGTGATGGGTAAATGGTGCAGAGTTGAGATGTTGGTAATTGCACGTTGGTCATTGATGGAAAAATACAAACACAACATACCAAAACATTCTGGTCATAATACTACTGAAAACGAGTATGTTATGAGGAAGAAAATAGATTTTATATATAGTGGGCTGGAGTGAAATATATTTATACTATAAAGAACCTCCCCCTTCCTTCCAAATAGTTTAAAAATATACACTGCTACAAATTAATTCAAAGTTATTTGTCCATGAATAACTAGGATAAGTATATATTATTCCAATCCATTATGCATCTTAACTTTATAGTAGGCTTGATCATTTGTTTTTATGACACAAGGTGACTATTTCTGTTAACCCCTTCTGAAAGCTGCCAGGACTCCTGCAACCAGTGCCGACCCACAAGGCTGACCCCTGTGGATGCACCACTTGTACGTGTAACTCTTTCCCTGAACAAACAGGTAGGTTTTGGCAGAGCGTTACGTTCTCAAATGAACATACGTAGCACAGTCTCGTGCTGTCTGTGCCCAGTAAGATGTGTTACCTTTACAGAAACAAGTGTCTGGAAACAGTTAAAAGTACTGCTTGTAATTCATTAGTAGTTGTCAGGAAACACTGCTTTCTAGAAAGAGAGAAAGTATTGGTAACTTGAGGCAAACAGAGCTGCAATTCTCTTTTCTTTGACCTGCCAGAAACTGTGACCAACACATAAAGCTGTTAATTATGAAGTTGCACTTCTAACAGTCAGGGGGAGTACTGGAAAAAATAATCTTTGAGAGGCAATAACGTTTGCAGACGGTTTTAAGGGGCTGCATGAGTAGGAAATATTTGCTTTGTTTTTTTGGTTTTTTTGTTTGTTTGCCACAGAGTCGCAATCACGGCATCAGGTACCACAGTCCTTTTTTTGTACTTCAGAAGTTTCATGATGCTGCTTTAGCCATGGCTTGGACACAGTAATTTAGTGTAGATAGCGTAAGTGCTCTTGTGTGTTATGCATGCTCCTTACAGGGTAGTGGTACACAATCTATGTAAGTTAAGCAGAATATTGGGCCTATACCTAAGCCATCCTTGGTTGTTATAATTTCTTTGGTCACAACAGGGATGCTGTCAAGGCTCAGATGTCAAAAAGATTTTATTATTGTTTACCTTTTCTCTAAAAGCAAGCATTATTACATGCCTTCCTTCCCCCAAAAAGTGAAACAAAGGCAGTAGTTTAACCGGACAGTGTCTTCGAGTGTGTAAAGTAAGATACAAGCTAAGCTCTTGGTAGAGAAATTCAGGCTGATAGAAATATTGTGAGAAGGTTTGCTGTTCCTTTTTTATAGTTTTTTTTTAATCTAAATAATAAATGTCTTTGTGAATAATTTATCAATAGGAAAAAGTTTGCCAATTAGAAGGAAAAATGACACATCTATAACTATATAATTTTAAATAAGTGCATCGTGAAAAGAGAAAAATCAATGGTGCTGTCTCTGCTTTCCTGTTTCATACCCCTTCTTGAAATCTCTTTCAGCACTTCTGGAAGTTATTTTAGTATTTCAGACTAGTTTTTTTGAGCAATAAGGATATACCATTGTGTGCATTTTTAAAGCACTGATGTGGAAAGGCACTTTTTTTCTATCTTTCAGATTGTTCACAAATTTTTGTTTCTACTACTTTTGTGCTTATGAAGTGTCCTTAAAAGCATTTATGTTGTTGATTTTGAGCATGCTCAGTATAGCTGGCTAGTAAGTTAATAGAAAAATTGTTAAGCTATACTGGAATTCATAGGTGCTGTAATTTTCTATGTTGGTCCTCCTGCTGCTTTGTACTGTATACAGCTCCTGGGGCTCGTACCCACCAGTGGTGCAAAATGTGTGCAGACAGTCATAACTCCCCAGCTGATACTGGCAATAGGTAGGCGGCACATTCTCTGCTTCCTGATAGGGTGCATATGTGAGTTGATGCAGTGTGTGCTCCCAGACGAGAGCAATCAGGGAATTCTGCTTATCTCCTCTTTTTTTTCCCTGCAAAACAGTTCCATTGGTGGGTGACAGTTCCATTTTTTCTTCTGTTCATTCAGTGCAGGTGCCTCTGGGATTTTGCATTTGGCAGAGCAATGTTTTGAGTGCAGGTTTTTCTGAGGTATTTGAGCTTTGTTCCTTTAATGTTCCTGTGCCCGAGTTCATATACCCACTATCTCCCACGAGACAGTAAATCCATGCTTAATTTTGCAGGCTACTAAAGAGCTTGCTGGGAGACAGAAATTGAATACCAACTTTACAGCAGAAAGAATGAGCATCAGCAAAGGTGGCACCCTTCTTAGTACAACTTCCTTCATTAGTAAGTAGTCATACAGAAATATAGCAAGTGGCTGCAGCTTTCTTTCAGATAACCACTGAAATCTGGATACAGAGTGGTTTGGAAAACCTGGATGCCTTTTCACTTTCTGAGACCTGTTGACATAACTTGCTTTTCTAGTGTATTTACTGTTTTTATGACAGTAAATATGTATGCCTTATTTACTAGTAAGCTGTTTTTGCCCTTGTGCACTGGTTTTGGAATTCTACTGTTTTCTTTGCTAAAATTATCAGAAAACAAAGAGCCAAATTTCAGACATGCAGCAAGATGCTTCTTGCTGCAAACATGGGGCTGTATTTTGGCACTATTCAAATGAATAAGTGAGAGCAGAGCTAGCACACTCTGTACACAAAGATAGCACATGCTTTCATCCTAGAATGCTGAAAATGGATAGCTGTAATTACATGTATGTACATTACATGTACTCATAATGTCAGGAAAAGCCTTGCTTCTGCAGGAGTTTCTGTGAGCAGATAGTGGCATTTTGTACTCTATTCCAGTGCCCGTTCTTTCAGATTTCCTCTCTGCCAGGCAGTGGTGGCATCTGCCTCTTCAGGTAGCAGGGCTCTGTTCAGCCAGCAGAGAGCGGAGTTCTCTGCGTGCGGTGTGGGTGTAAAAAACAGGGGCTCACAGACTTCCATTTTATTCTGCTCTTGGGGAATTGCTTTTGAAGGGAAAACTAGGGTTTCGTAACAGCGGTAACCAGAGGGGAGAAAAGAGATAACAAGAAAGCTTTTTAGCAAGTGGTTCTAAATAAATAATTGGTAACACGTTTGAGGTGGACATGCCAGTCTTCTGTTTTGTGTTTCAAAACAGGAAGGAGGCACAAGTCCCACAAAAAAAGAAAGTAATGTAGTTATTTCAGTTCTTTTACATGGAAATTACCTGCTTTCCTCTGCGCAGTAGCTTCCTCATGCAACAAAAGACTACTTGCTCTGACTTGGTGCACAGCCTCAAAGCCAAAGAGCTCCTCTCCTGAACTTACTGTGCAATTTCCTGCAGAGCACCAGGGAACGACTGACGCATCAGGGAGACATCAAGGTACCTGAATCACTTTGGGAGAGGGAGCAATATTTTAACAAGTGCATTTTAAGATTTACTGTTGTGGAGGTGCACGTGTGGAGTTTTGTTGTTGTTGTTTTCCTGATTTCTTTGTTCTGTGCTCTTTGGCAACCAGGTAGCACAAATCAAAATAGCCAGTCTTGCTCTGGGTTAAAATTATTTCTTTACATATTTAAAGGAACCAAAAGTGCTGTTTCAGCATCAGAAGGGCAAAAAAGATTTTTTTTTTCTGCTTTATGCAGTTTTCTGTAATGACTTAAATTGTTGTACTTCAGTGGTACCATTACTGGTAAAATTCTCTTATTTTGAATAAGATAAATGGGTCTTACTTTGAGCATTACTTACAGTAGTGAGTCGCATTAAAATCACTTGCATCTCCTTGATTAACTGGGACATTGTATGGCTCAGTGGCTTTAACTGTATCTGGAGAACATTTGCTGTGATAGAGAGTAAGATTTACCATCTGAAAATATTGTTAACATAGAGCCAAATTCTCAGAGCTGGAGTAGTTTTTTTATTCAATTTGTTACCTGCAGAATTTGACACTTGATGCTCTTCCTGGGTTTTAGTATTTACTTCAAAGTAGCAGCAATAGTTTATAAAGGTATTTTCTGTTTGGCATAAATAGGCTGATAAGATGGAAGTCATGCACATGTACTTTCTTGGAGTTTTGTCTCAGTCCAAACACAAGAGCAACGTAAACTCCTGTCAGAAGGTAGTAAAGATAGTGAAGATGCAATCAGAACATATGAGCATTTTTGTTTTCTTGGTGGGGTTTTTCCTTTTTTTCCCCTCATTGTGAAGATGTAGAATTATATTCTTGTTCAAATGGTGCTCCTAACCTGGGGCCAAGGGCAGCCTTATTTCTTTGGTGGTAGGAGCTTCCTTATTTGTGGCTCCTGGTGTTCAGCTTTGTGTTCCTTTTTTCACTTGGAGTAGACTGCAATCCAGAGAGCATTTAACACACTACAGCTTTCCCTTACACGTTTCTATAAAATGCTGGTGGTTTTTAAACTTTTTATTTTAGAAATGTAAGTATGTTTCTCTAAAATAATTTTCCTTTCTGAATTCCTTTTCTCCTTCAGTTAAAAAAAAAAAGTGACAACCAGCATTACAGTGCAAAGGTCAGCGCTCACTAATTCTGCAATCCAATGGGACACAGGCTTTGTCTAGTTTTGAAAAGTTTTAAGCCTCTAAATTGCAAATGATCGGCCATCATTAACTGCCACTTACTTACGTGGGAGAAATAAGGACGAGGATTCAGTGAGCTCTGTTCATGAGAATTGTACCTCCTCAAGGAGGAGAGCTAGAGAAGAACTGGGAGGAACAGGAGCTGGTGCTCCATCTATGCCTAGTCCCCTACAGCAGGAATTTAGTGAGGGGAATGAGTGAGAAGAAACTTGAATAACAGATTTTGGAAACCCCCTTAAGTGTTAACACTTAAAGGCAATCTGTCTGTTACAACACTTTGGAATTGAACCAACTGTTCCTTGGAAAATAGTTCTCTCTCACTCAGGAATTCCTAAGATGCCAAAGATGCATTCAGAGCTAAATTTCAGGTACGCAGATGTGCTTGCAGCAGCTGCTCCTGAGGCTAAGCTGCCAGGGGCTGCAGCTGCTGTGAGCTGCCCTGCAGCCCTTGCCTTGACACACCACTGTACATAACTGAGTACAGACCTGCAAGGGGCGTGGGCAAAGGCCAGTTTAGCTAGAGAACCTGTGCTCAAAGACTCCCTTGTTGCTAATTTGATGCAGCACTTTTACTTATACTTTAAAAAGGAAAATCAATACTTTCCCAAGTTACATTGAAATCTTAGGTTTCATCCTAGTGGACTGCCATGGACCAGAAATTAACTGGAGCAGCAGTTATGGCTTACACTAACTACTGTCAGCAGCCACTAGTGATATCCTGTACGATACTGGGGATGCAAATGTAAGAAAGCGTCACTACAATGATGATTTTTCTGTACAGCAAGCTTGTGATGAGTGCTGTAAATACATTCATGTTTACTGCTTTAAAAAAGAAAATTGCACATTCTGTCTTTCAATGGGATTGCCTCCCCTCTTCTTCCCTTTCCAAAAAAGAAAAAATCAAAGCTCTTTTAGACTGCTAGCTTCAGGTTGGGGGGAGCTTTGCCATATTATAAATATATATAAATATATGTATAAATATACTTTTTTAAGCATGAGAGAGGACAAAAGATACATTATAGAGTACCCAATATAGATCATTATACAATGGAATATGCACAATTCAATAAAGATGTAGTTAAATTTAATAATTCGTTTTAATCCTCTGTCTTGCCATTTTCCTTTTTCAGAACCCACCTTCTGTTTTCAGGGCAGCAGCAGTTCCCTTTTACAGGATTCCTGCTTGGCTACAGGTTGCTCATTCTTGATAAAATTGCTATTTATCGTTCCTTTGCACAGCTGTTTCCAGTGGATCAGAGCTGGCTGTACCAGTAGCAATGTACATACCAGCCACAGGTCTAAAGAAGACCTGGAGTGAAGGCTTACCTCACCTTTTCCATCTGCCTGTTTCCTCAGATGTGCAAGGGTCCTGGCATTACTCGGTTCGGCTCTGCTCAAACAGCTGATGGCTGGTAAGTGCTGGTGCAGCCCTTCGCTGGGATCCACTGTAGGGAGTTAATTATGCTGTACCTCTCCATGGGGGCTGCACAAAGGCTGGTCATGCAGCACTTGTGAGCTGCTACTGCAGGGATTTGAAAATTAAGATTAAAGAACTCAGACTGAATTCCTGCTCGTGTAGGAAAGCCACTAATTCTGAGAGGCTCTGAGGTACTTGGGCTTATGTGTAAAACTGGTCATTTCTGCCTTGAGCCAAAAGCAGCTGCAGCAGTACATGTACCCAAACCAGAACTCATCTCCATGAACAGAACTCACACCACAAGCACAGCTGCTTGCACCACAGGGAAATCGATTGGAGTGTCATGGCCCCAGGGCACTTATGTCATCACTGAAAGAAAAGAAGTTGCTTTGTTCCTGCAGGCCTTGAGGAAGTAAGCTCTGCCTAAACACTGGAGCTGCAGAATGGTGTTTGGGAAAGGTGAAGAAGCGCACTTCAGCCAGCTCAGAAGAATCCTAGCCTGAAAGTAAAGCTGGTACTAGCAAACAGCAGCTCAGAGCTGTGAGTGCAACGTGGGCACCTGTGCTGGAAGAAGGAGCTGGTGTCCTAGCACTGGCCAATTACAGGAAATAGAGTCACACAAGTGAAAACAGGAGCTGCTGAAGGCTGCCAGCTGGATGCCAGTATTAAAACCTGGGCTGGGGAAGTGCTGAGCTCACCTTCTCTGAACAGGGCTCCTGTATACACAAGCCACGTCTCCCAGTCCCTCAACATTTCAAAAAGCCTGTAGGAAGAAACAAGGAAAGTGACGCAGTGGTGGCACACTCACAGAACACAGTGTGTGCTTTGTTCTTTTTATTCAGGGCTTGTAACAAGAGGGTTTAGTACACAGCAACAGTTAATTCCAAGTACAATTAAAAAAATTTAAAAATTGGGTTTTGCACTCACTTGGAAGATGGTTCAAATGGCACACACAGTAAAATGTTACCGGCAGCACACAGCTCCCCAGACTCTTCAGGCTTGATCATTTACAGTGGGCTCTGCACTTCTCCACTGCATCAGCAGTGCCAAAATCAAAAAGCACAGAGTGCTTCCCTTCCAACTGCAACCCAAATGTGTGTGTGGGGGGGGGTTCTGCTTTCAGAAAAAAGTACATGGACAAAAAAAATCCATGTTAGACACTAACATTTCCAGAGAATTCATAGAAACTACTTGTCCATGCAAGTTGCAAAAGACACTTTTTCAAATGTGAAAAGAAGCACTTGGGCTTTACAAAAGAAAAAAAAAAACTCAGATGTCAGCACTTTAGCAAGGCGCTGTCATGGAAATGAATTTGTACACAACTCTTCCTCATTTGTAAATAGAAGGACTTTTCTGAGGTTTTAAGAGAAACAGGAAACGTACTGCCCATATTTCAGCAGGGTCACCACATACCTGTCCAGCAGGATGCTGGGTGTAGGCTTACCTCTGGCCAACAGGCTCCTGCTGTCTTTTTACCTTCTTGCTACCCATGTTGGAATAAGCAAAGGTGTTAATGAATATGTTCAGAGCACCAAAGAAGACAAACAAACAGTTCCTGCATTTGCAGAAAGTTGCACAAAACACATTGCTGCTTTGAATTAATGCAGAACATCATGGTTTGAATTATTTGCAACAGCAGTTGGCAAAACTTGGCTGCATCAAGTGCTCAGCAACCTTCCCACAGATAGGAGATGAGGGTCCCACTAGTCACACAATTGAAAATTCAAGATGACTGTTGCTACGCACCAACCAGCTATTGAAAAGAAAAAAAGTTCCCTCTTGCCCTATTCCGACCTCTGTATAATATACCACTTTAGCCACAAAATGTGGCTGTGCCTAATACTGAGTGATGTCAAAGGATGGGGTAGGTGGAAAATACATTGTAAGCACAATAAATTCTTGAGTGTGGCTCCCTATAAGCTATAGTCCATCACCTACCTGCCCATGCTTTTCGTTTTACAACACTGCCTCTTCTCAACGTGAAGTATTTGCCTTTGTGAACGCAACAGTTCTGCACGTTTCCCACTGCCACTGCTGTCAACATGGGAAATAAAGCCTCCGCCTGGGTTTTGCAACATTTCATTAAATACTGCAGTCCTCCACACTCAGCAAACCCAGTCGAAGCCACAGCACTACACTGTTTCCAACAGCATCCTCTAGCAGCTTCCAAAAAAGTTGTGCTGATGATACTGCTGGGTACCAACCAACAAAAAGTCCTGTCCTTGCCAGAAGGAAAAGTTAAAAGTTTTGCATTTGATTTACATTTGAAGCTCATTTCTAGGGAAGAAGCACATCTGCAGCATTTGCTAAGAACTGGTGGAAGCTGCTGGGAAAAGCACAGCAATAACCTGCCTTCCGGCATATGCGCAAGACACCACAGAAGCACAGCAGGCTGCACCAGCACAACCCTCCTCCATCACAGGTGAACAGCAGGCAGCACACCCTCTGCCAGAAAAGGACCATCAGTCCTGCTACTGCTTCTCTTCTCAAGCTTATCTAAAGCACCCTAAATAAAAGTGCCACTTTGCAGAAGCTGCATTGTTGCCAACATCAACTTTGGTTCTAGGCTGTCACAAAAGTGCTGAAGAACCACACCAGGCAGGGGGCCAAGCATTCTGCCTACTTGCAAACAGCAAGGTAGGGCTACCTTGATAAGACCAGTGTGCTGATACAAGCAGGAGACATGCACATCCTCTTAGTCACAGAAGCACTGCACTGGGAGAGCCTTTGCTAGCAAAGAAAATTCTCAGGAGGTGTGAGAAGTGAACAAACCGCTGTGGTGAGTGCTCACTAGTTCTCTGGTAAGTCATCCTGCCAGAGCCTGCAGAGACCGTGCAGGAGCTGTGGTGCAAACCAGCAGCAATCTCCAGCCATTTCAAGTAACCCCCAGCTCAGCTGCTTCCTTGTTAGCACATATCACAAAGACAAGCTTGAGTCCCAGGGCCATGCTCCACCTCTTGTCCTCCACTGGGAGCAGTGGCTCCTCAGTGCCTATGTTCTCTGGTGCCTGCTCCAGCTAGCGGGCATGGAAGCAGCATAGGGACATCAAGCATAAAATAGGCTGCTTGCTTTTCCTGCCCCTCTCACCCCTCCGTGGCAACAAAAAAAAAAAAAAAAAAGAAATAAGAAACAAAGATAAGGACAAGGAGAAAGAAGAAAAAGATAAAAATCAATGGGTTAGATACATGCAACCTTAGCCACCTTGATGCTGAACACAGACATCAAAATAATCTGCTTCAGCACTATCTGGGGGACAGTCTGTGACATCCTTTCCACACAGGCACATGTCAGAGGGGCAGCTCCAGTTAATAGATTTGTCCCAAGAGGGCTGAGAGCAAGGAAGAAAATCCCTGCTAGAGCAAATTAAAGCAGAAGCTGCAGCTAGATTCCTGCCTGTTTAAGCACAATGAAAGCAGCTGGCTGTGGGCAGTGTAGCTCTCAAGAAGGGAGAAATGTTTCTTTTGGTCATTAGCACTCAGGGCTATTCTGTAGTATCTCCTTCCCCCAGCTCTCCCACATGCATACCCTCTGCTCTGACAGCTGATGCTGAACATCTTCAGGTGTAGTAGAACTCAAAGAGAAGTTTGCATCTACAAGGGTGTTGGTTTTTTTCTCCACTTTCCTAAACCTTCTTTTAGAAGGAAATGTAAAGAAAGTGGGGAAGAAAGGTTTCTGAGAAGGAGATGTACAAGGGACAAAATTAAAAACACAACCCTCACCGACTTTGCTAGCATGCAGTCTATGCAACATTAATACAAAAAGCTTGTTTACCTTGGCCTGGTCTATGAACATAACATCACATCATCCCCAAACAAACTACAGAATTAAGATCTGTACAAAATAAAAAGTATGCATAAAACTCTCTTTTCTTTGCATTAATACTGCATAATAAAGCATAAAACCAGCAGGAGGTGACCCAGAAATTCCATCCACAGCAGCTCTTCGAGGACAAAAAACTAAATGCTATCAATAGAGACCAAATTAACCTCTCAAAGCCAGCCTTCCAGGGAGCTTCCTACATTTCACCTTCAAGGTTTTGCAGCTTATCTTCTGTACTGAGCTCCAACAAGTTATGCAGCACTTTCTGGTGTTCACACTGCTCTGGCAGCTCTCAACACATGAAATTTACATGATACACAACCAGGTGAGTGTATCACGCACTATGCAAGTACACACAGTCACCACCTGTCAGTCAGAAGTGTTCAAGCGCATGCTCTTGACAGACTGAGTTAAAGACACATTTCACTAATTCATCACCTCCCAGCTGGAATGTGGGTGCACAAGAAGAGAATATTAGCTGTCATTTAGTAACTCATTAAGCTGCCGTAACTCAGTACATTTGAGCACTGTGTGCTTTCATCACCAAAAGCACACCCAGGACAGAAGAAGCCAGGGAAGCTTTGACAGTCCTGGAAAACACAAATCTTTGGTGCTTAGGGGGTGACTGTGGTGCTGCAGTGCAATCATCCCAGTCTCTAGCCGGGCTGCAAGAACCACTGACCTATGCAAAAAGTGTAGGCACATCCCATGACACTGGAAACAGACATTCCAGCTATAGCACAATCAGTGTTTGTAGGTGTGCTCCTAGAGAAACAACGGGCTGAAGGAACTGAACATGGCTGCTTCTACTGATCTTGCTGTAAGACAGAAGCTTTTGCAAAGGAAAGTAGAAAAGCATCTCTTCTAGATTCTAACATCTATTCCAAATAGTAATGCTGCCAACTTCCAGAAAGAAAAGAATAGTGTTTTGGCTACACAGCTGTGGACTGAACAGGGGAGAAAGTAACTTCTATGTTTGCACAGGTTCCTTCAAAACTATACTTCTTGTAAGCTTCCACTAAGCTAGTTCCTTACTCACTGTCACAGGATTAACACACTCTTCTGCAAGCTCACAGCAGGTGATCAAATTCACCTGCCTATTACAAGCACACCTCACTGTCTGTTTCTTCCCCCTTGAGCAGCTACAGCTTCTCCCTGAGCAAGTCTGTACCAGACGCGTGCCTTCAACATGGCACTGCACTGCTTACCAAGGAGGGGCAGGGGGCTTGTGACAAGTACGCAGCCCCACTGCCAATATCATCACAAACTCAGTGCTGGCAGCACTCTCTGTACTGCTGTTTTACACACAGGCTTCAGAAGAAAGCTGCAGCACTACCTTGCCTTTGACAGTATTGTCTGGAATCTGGTCAGATGTCAGTCATACGTTGTCCAGGACTGTTTCTCTGGCCCAGGAGGCTCTGGCAGTACAGAGGTCAGCTCCATTTGTGGAGCAGCAGGACTACAACAGGAGGTTTAATCGGTTCAACATGACGTTCAACGAAAGGCAGTATTTAGTCCTTCCTGAGGGCAGACTAGCATAGCCATCATTTTACACTGACAATCACCGAGCAGCATTTTTAACGGAGACTTAAAAAGCTAACCATCAGCCCAGGGCCTCCACTTGTTATTACTCCACCCTGGACCCACAAGTACAGTTAAAATACCTATTTCTTCATAATAAACAATGGAGAGGACTGGGAGAAGAGCTAGGACTACTTCTAGTTACTGCTTGGATTTCCATGGGAAACCAGTACACAACATCAGCCCTTTTTACTTCCACTGAAGAGATTTTGGCAATAGACACGAAGACGACAATTGCCGTTTGTCCTGCCTCTGCACAGGGCTCTCACAGTACATATGCAAGTCTAGTCATCAAGTACAAAAAAAAGCCAATTTACAATACCTGATTGGATTTTTAAGATTATATTGTGCATAAGACTAAAGTTGGGGGTATGTTTCTCTAGTGCAAGCAGGTGTGAGTAGATCTGAACAGCCCCTAGAGTTTATTCTCAGACCCCAGGAGGACGTGTGAACTTCACCTTCACTGTCAATGGCATCTGTGAGTTCTGGACAACCCAGCAGCACCCATGGCAGGAGCAGCACAATCATAACCAAAACCAAACCTGTTGCATTCAAAAGATGAGGAAATGGGGACGAGGGTCTTCTGGGCTGCAGCTGTCATAATTGTCTAAACTAAAGGGTGAGTTAACCAAAGCCAGCTCTGCGTGCCTGTGTCAGCGTATAAAAGCAGAGCAGCTGCAGAAGTGTTTTTGCTAAAGATGCAACCAACTGTAAGGAAGTCAGATACATGAACAACTTTGCATACAAATCCCTGTGTTTGCTAACACACAAGCATTTTTCCAGCTGCACAGGAGTGTAGTGTAGAAACAGGAGAAACATCCACCAGCCAGCAACCCTTCACCACAAGCATCCAGGACATCCCCAGTGCCAGGCACTGCTGCCAAATGTAGTGCCATCACGGTGCACAGGATTCCTGAGAGAGATCCCAGAGCCTGTCAAGAAGTCAGAATGGGAGTGAAGGAAATAACAGCTACTCAATGAGTTTGTTAGATCTGAATGGGTCAGCTTACTTCAGCATCAGATTGCTCATGATAGCCTCTGCTGGCAACTGGAAGAGCCACTTGTTCAAACAACTCAAAACACTACTGTTTTATAATGAGGAGAAAAAAAAAAAAAAAAAGAGTGGTTGTTACAATTATCCTTCATTCTGCTATTTTGGATGGGGCCCCAGAGGCTGGTGGAGATGAGGAAGCCCTGACAGCTCCTGCAGCAGGAGATGCAGCGCTCTGTCCTCTAGTCTTCACTCTGAGTAATGCATGATGGACTCCACGTAGTTCCCTGGGAAGAGCCCCGTCACTCCATTCATGACCCCTTCGTACCAACCATCATCATTCTTCTTAATGACATAAATGATGGCACCTTCCTGAAACGAGAGCTCATCTTCTTTGTCCTTCGTGTAGTCATAAATGGCTACCACTAGAAAAGAACAGAGGATGAGCTGTTAGAAGAAGTACAAGCACACACCTCAGTCACCTACACATTTAGATCTATACAATGCTCAAGTGCAGTTCCCTTACCTGGATGTCATTCCCATAGTACATAATAGCAATGTAAGTGAAAACAACTTATGAAAAAAAAAAAAAAAAAAAGCAGCACCTCTCTCTAAAATAAAATGCATGCCTGCTATATCAACATATTTTTCATACAGGAACAAACGACCTTTATCTTACTAGACAGATGAAAGCTGCTTCAGAAAGTCAAAGAAATGCAGTAAAACACTGGCAAATACCAAACACGGAAGGTCCGTGCACAAATAACATTTGTACATCACATACAGCAAACTTTCCAGTCCTGCCTGTGTAGTTGTTAAGAAGCTTTATAGGGAAAAATAATATATACATACATATAAGTACATACATACATGAATACATATAGCATATCTATATATGCACATACCTACAAAAGAAGATATACATATACAAAATACCCAATAGATGTATTGTGTACATATACCACTGAAGGAAGAACTCGTGCCTTGAAGACACTGTGCTTACTGAGCCCCTTGTAATGAGGCCATTGTAAAAGGCTGCACATCAACACATCTCTAAGATTCTTGGTGCACTTCCCAGGCCCTGTACCAGGGGTCCATGCATGCCTCTAAGGCACAGGCATGATTCTAAGAGACAATGCCTGAGTCAAACTCATCTCCCTTGTAAGTGTGCAAAGAGCACACCCACTGTCTTAGTGTCAAGAGTCACATAGCTGCTCCTTAGGAAGAGGCACCAGTTTTGTGCATCTGTCAGAAGCAGTTTGAGCGGCCATGCATACAAATTGCCAGTACAAAAAGAATCACACTGTTCCTTGCAACTTTAAACGCACCCTTTTCCAAGTAGGTACGTGGTGCCCAGGGAGGGTCCTCCTCTGCATATGGATCGCTGTACTCCACCACTGCTGCCTCTTCCTCCTCATAGTCCTCTGGAGGTGGGGGTGGCGGCGGGGACTCATCAAACACTGGCTCATCCACAGGTGGGGGTGGGGGAGGAGTATCTGAAACTGAAATGGAACAGCCCTGTACCTGGGAAATGGTCCCTACCACCATGGCTGCAGGTTAAAGAAATGCTTCACATCCAGCCTAGTGGCTACAGCACCCACGTAAGGAGTGGTGAAAATACACTAGAGACAATAAAGTTAAATGAAAGAACTCACTGAACATTTCTGCAGTGAAACCAATGAAAGTATTTCCTTCCCCCCTGCTTCTTTGGAACTTCTGACAAATTTGCAGACAGTGAAGAATTCTGGCTGCACACGGACACATCTCTCATCCACTCAAAACAAAAGCCACATGCAGTTCTGAATCACGGCACAAGGAAGCGACGCACTTACTGTTTTCTTGAACTCTGGCCACAAATCCCATTAGCGGTAACTGCGGAGTTACCTGTAGGATGGAGGGGGGAGGAGGAGCAAGGGATGCTGCCACAGAAATTAAAAAAAGAGGCATTCGGTTAGAAACACAAAGCAGCAAACAGGAAAGTAGACATCATCACACTCAGACAATGTAGCAGGCTGCCAAGAAGCTGAGATAAAAAGGACAGTACTCACAGAAAAATGGCTTAGGGCGTTTAAGCATATTCCCAATCCTTACTTCAAGGAGATTTCTACATTTTTAACCCAACCCATTTTCAATCTATTTCTTTTCCTAAGATCACGAATCTACGCTGAAGCAGAAGTTTGATCTCACTAAAAGATTCCTTCAAGTTCTTTACAGCAGCACAGGACTTCAGAAACTGGCCTACCTAACAAATATATCAAGTAGTTCCTCCCCCTGTAATCCTCTATAATCCTCTTTTAAATTGATTTAGTATTTATAAATTGAATGTCTCTTCTATTAAAACACCCACAAACCCTTATTCCTGAAAATAGATATAGCTAATTTTCTCCAAAACACGGCAAAAGATAAAACAGGAAATTAATTAGATAAGGCAATTTTGGGTGAAACAGAAAGATACCTTTGAGAAACCTTAGACTTCCAGACAGGAGCCTTGTTGGTAGAACAAAGCACACTTTGCTGTTGCAGAGCAGCAGAGACTAGTCCAATGTGCATTATTCTGCAAACCACTGAACTCTGAGCAGCTGGCTTACTGGTAATGGAAGAGCTGTCTTTGTGTAAGATGTGCAAATTCACACTTAAATAGATAAGCAAGTGTATTCTCTAAGTACAAAAAAATTAGTTAATTCTAGTTAACAAAACTGTAGTCTCACCTTGTAAGGATAATGCAAGACAATTATTTTTTTAAGAAAGTTCTTGGAATATTTTCCAGAAAGCACACCTCAGGAAAAGCACAACCAAGTCATTTCTTGTTATTATGGTAAATACAGACATTTAATCGTGTCCAAGAGAACAGCAAGGAAAAAAAAATAAAAAAAAAATCTACATTTCATGTACCAGTACGTTTATTTACCTTACCGAGCTGAGCTAATTAAATTTCAGTCTAGTCCCAGAGCTGCAGTGTATGACTTAGCATTGTTCAGAATTAATACACCTCATCACAGCAAATAGAAAAAAACCAAAACAAGTTATTTCAAATTCATATCTCAAAATATACCGTTGGCTCATTTAGCAACTATTTTCACAAGCACTTTGAATTTCTTCTACCAGTCATGTTCCAGCTTCTTTTTTCTACCTCACATCACAAACAAAACAAAATATACACAAAAACCAAAATAGAGCAAGCACTGTTTTTGTTGCAAGAGTATCCATGTACCTCCATATAAAGCAGGCTCCATTACCTGACCACTTAACTGGTATTTCTTGAGAAAATTTAAAATACATTTCTAATTACAGCTTCTTTGACTTGAGGCAGGTGACCTTGGAGAGAATATATTCCTTCAAGTGTAACCACAACTGCTGGGAAAAGATCTGGTCTTGCATTTCTCAAAGAGGAAAAGGGAACTTGAATTTGAAACACTATTGAAATGCAACAGCATTCAGGAATACAGTGTTCCTGTCCAACTATGAAGTCGCCTCCTTTTTAATTACATATACTATAAAAATTCTCAGTTTCAAAATGTTTCCTTTATTCAAAGTCACACGAAATCATACACTTCCTATCTACCACATGAGACTTGCTTTGGTCTTCTGGGTCCCTTCTGTGCATATTGTGTTCTGCATGTAAGTCCTTGAAGGAGATAACAAGGCTTTCCAGGTAGAAAGACAAATCACTCTAGACAAGCACTCTAGGCAAGCACAACAAACATCCCTTTGTTTTGTTTGGATCACGCAGTTTAATCAAAATGGCGATGCTAACACTAGCTGACATCATTCCTTGTTCATCTTAACCATAATCATTACCTTCCTTTTGGGTCCACAGACTGAACTGCAGTTATGCAACAGTCTATTTGGTAACTTTATTATAACCTGCAATACTGTTATATATGCTGTCTAAAATAGCATGTATGTCACCACCGTATACGGTGAAAATTCTCTTTACTGCAAAAAGCACTGTTGAAATGTTTCCTTTATAGTTATTTTCCCTTCCTTCACATTTATTCCCTTTCAAATTTCAATACACATATAATATGCTGAACAAATGCCATGTATTTCATGAAACAGAGCAGCAGTTACTCATATAAACTACTCTACCCTCTCTGTCCCCAGCAGTACCATCCACTTCCCTCTCAAGTTAATTGTACACATCTCTTTGCAGATTGACTCACAAGCAGTAGTATTTGGGCCTGACCAGATCCCTTAAACACAAACTGTAGCAGCTAACCTAATTCCTAATTCAATGCTTCATCTAAAACAACAAAGCCAAACAAATCATCACCAACAAAAACACACACACAATAGCACTAATGTGCTTTCAAATCAACTTTCAGACTTGCTTTTAACAGGGCCTTTGCTAACAAGGAACTTCCACCACGTCCCTTGCATCTTTCTGTAGCTTTGTAAGAAAAGGCATCCCTTACTGTCACATCAATACCTTCACCTCTCCTCACAAGCTCAGGGAGAAGGACACCAGAGATGAACAGCTGCTGAGTTCCCCAACATACAGGACAACACTGCTTGTTAAAATCTCATCATGCTTTTGAGGATAGGTCAGCCATCAGAATAACATCACATATGGAACTTCACAGAGAACATAGCTCCCCTGTACATTATACCAAGCACCACAGATGTCTAAAATCTCTAATGCTTACCTCTATATTACAAGCAATTTACTGAACTGGTGGTTAATCACAAGGAAGAAGCACGCAAGCACACAGACTGATTAATGAAGAATCAGCGTTTTGCTGCAACACCAAATACCTATTCCACACCAAAGCAGCTACCTGATACACACAGTGTAGTACGGACTGAAGTTGGTCCAACAGATCCTGCAAGTCCTGGGGGATCAAAAGGAATTTATCTGACAACAAAAGCCATATTGTCCCAAGCTGTATGTCATAACAGCAGCTGTACGCTCTGTGCTCACACCTCCGCTTCAGCACAGCTTCCAACAATGTACTGGAAGTTACCTTAGACTGACTGCAAGAGCTGCACTGGAGACAGAATATGGGATTTCAGAGATCTGAAGGCCAGTCAATTCAACTCTGTGTTGCATTCATCACAGCAGACAACCTTTCTTACCTGGGTTCTGGTTATAAAAAGGTCCTCCATTTATCTGGTTCTGAAGGCTCGTCTGTGACGTGATCGAAGGAGGACGCCGATACGGCAAAGATCCCCCTATTGTTGGTGGTGTATGCCGAGACGCAGGCCTGTTCATGCTGTAGAATTGAACTGGGTGGCCTGGATTAGAAAGAGAAATGTGTTACCAAGGGAAGAATTATGCTTTTTTATTTTTTAATTTTATTTTTATTTTATTTTTTAAGCTCCACTCAAAATTCAAAGGCTAGGAAAAGTTTCTGTTCTCTTAGAGACAATCTACATCCTACAAGCAGTCAGCGCAGCTGCCACAACACTGGATGTCTCAACAGCAATACAAAAAAAAAACAAAAACAAAAAAAAGCACCAGACAAACAAAAAAACCCAACTCCTCCAACTGCCCGTAATCAGCACTAATCACACACACAAATAAAGAAAATGCAAAGGTACACAGACATATAATATATACATATGTATATACTACTATACAAGGTGAAAGAAAATCATTTTCATTTACCCATTTTATAAAACATATTATAGTAACTGAATTTATAAGAAATTCTCATTTATAAACCTGCAAGAAATATCACTTTGCGCTCCAGTTGTCAAGCAACACAATGTGTACAAACTGCTGTTATTCAAAGAGAAACACAGTGTTAAGTATCTTGTTGCTGCTCATGAAGTATACAGAGAATCATCTGGGGAGAAGAGAACACTAGAAACTGCTTGAATGGATGGAATAAATGAAATCATACTCAAAAGCCTGTTATTAAGGAGTTACCCATTGAAGCAACTCCTTGAAAACTTGCTCTTAAAAGCCTCGGACCGTGATCACATCTGGGCTCATCTGCCCGCACAAAGGAGCAGACACTCACCTGTAGAGGCCGTGGAAGAAACAGCAGGGGGAGTTGGAGAGGTGAAGCCATCAGCAAGGGGCTGGGCTCCTGCAGCAGCAGCAGCGTCTGGGGTAGAGGAGGAAGGGGCTGGAGCAGGAGGGGTGGGGGCAGGAGCAGAGGTAGAAGGAAGGGGAGAAGTGCCAGCCGAGCCAGCAGGGGCTAAGTGAAGAGAGGAGGAAGAGGCGGAGTTAATAAGGAGATATGTTAGCAAGGATTAGAGAAAGCCTTTGATTCTTCAGTGTTAGCTACTTGCTAGATGCACAGTATTTTAGAATGCACGAGGAGATGAGGGAAAAAATGAAGCTACTAATGAAAGACTCATTCTTACGTAGACAGTTCATGAGGGTCAAGCAAACCTGCTGCTTCTTTCCAGGTCTGAAGGTAACAACCTAGAACTTTCCAGGGAGAGCCATTACTTTTGAAAGATGTCTTTAATCTTTGCTATTTAGGCTGCAATCTGTAGCATAGCTACACTGAGTTTTTGTACAAATTAGAAAATATAAAGAAGAGGAAAGCCAAAAGTGCTTCTTTGGTTCAGAAGCATCATGTATTTCAGCTCACACTGCTAGCCAAAACTATACGCTCCTTTTCACTGAAAATGCTGAACAAGGAGTACTAACATCACTTCCTGTTTCTGGGAAGACCAGTGTAGTTACAGTAAATGAACACCTTTTCATGACAACTCAGCTAGGCTTGCATTGTGTACTGAGGATTTGCTCTCTGCCTGCCTCTCTTTTAATCCAATTGTCTAAAAGCAAGCTGCTATAGATCTGCATGAACAGCTGATGAAAAAGCATCAATTTGCTTAAAAGGGATAAGTTTCTCCCCACCCACCAAAAAAAAGTGTGTCCTATCTGGTTCCATGCAGGCAGCCAGGCAAAAAATGCTCATAAATTCAGTAATATATAAAATAAACACTGAAGTACCTCAGACACTCTCAGAAAATACATTACATTATTCAAATTCATGCTACCAATAGCAAGCAATTTTCAGTGATTGCATGCTTCTGGAAGATGAATTCTGAGGCTTCTCATGGGGCTTCCTCATCACATCTGCAAATGCTAAAGTTAATGCTGAGACAGAAAGAGTAACAGCAAGTTTCCATTTACCTGGATAGACACTGGGAGGAGATGGTGTGGGAACAGCAATAGGAACACCCACACTGCCACTTCCACTGTTCTCACGACTACTGCTCCGACTACTTGGGTGGCTTCCTCCACTACTCCCACTGCTGCTGTAAGAAACCAAAGTAACACACGAAATGAATATGCTGCTCTGCATGCTGAAATACAAAGGCCTCAGAAAGCACTCTGCTAATTCAGAGTAGTAACAGGAAGCAAGAAAAAAGAAATGATGAACGTATATAAATCTAACTTTTCCAAAAAGTCCTCTTCATTTTGACCACAGCAGAAGTTTTTTCACGTAGTCCTAGAGAACTTGCCCAAAAGTAAAACACGCAAATACAAAAATTCTAAAATGGAAAAAAATCAGATTTTCTTACACTCTAAGCCCATCTATTTCACTAGCATCAAGTACTTACAATGTTTAAAAAGTAAAGATTTCTTGATATACTAGTTCTTTTGAAATTTTTCTTGTTATCCTAGAAAGAAGGCTAACCTTTTCCATAACCTTTGGTAACACAGCTCAGCTTCATTCTGAAACATGTTTGCCACTACCAGCATCCTCAAAATGCAACGCTCTTTTTCAGCTGTTCAATCTAAAAATATCAAGGACTGTTCAAATAAAGATGTGAAATATAAGCTCACCATGAGGTCCTTCAACGTGAAGGACTCAAGTTTTCACAGAATCACAGAATTGTTCGAGTTCATAGGGACTTTTTAAAGGTCACTTAGTCCAACTCTTCTGCAGTGAACACGGACGCCTGCATGTAGATTAGGTTGCTCAGAGCCCCGTCCAGCCTGACCTTGAACGTCTCCAGGGATGAGGTATCCAGCACATCCTTGAGCAACCTGTGCCAGTGCCTCACCACCCTTCTTGTAAAAAAACTTCTTCCTTATATCCAATCTAAGCTTCCCCTTCTTTAGGTTGAACCCATACCTCCTTGTCCTATCACAACAGACCCTGTCCCTTTCTTTCTTACAGCCCTCCCCCCTTAAGATACTGAAAGGCCACTCTCAGATCTCTCTGGAGCCTTTTCTTCTCCAGGTTGAACAGTCCCAGTTCTCTCAACCTATCCTCACAGGGAGATGTTCCATTTGTGGGATCATTTCTGTAGCCCTCTTCTGGATACACTCCAACAGGTCCATGTCTCTCCTGTACTGAGGACTCCCCACCTAGACACTGTACTCCAGGTGCAGCCTCACCAGCGCAGAGCAAAGGGGCAGGATCACCTCCCTTGATCTGCTGGCCAAGCCTCTTTTGATCCAGCCTTTTAGCAGTTTTGTAAACATTTAATAGAATATTGCAAACTACCTACTTGAAACAGTACATAATTTTAGTAAAACATTAAGCGCTACCACTATGTTTTAATATTAAAAGCAAGGTAACCACAGGATTATGTGAACCATGTTAACACAATCACTACTCTGGTTTTATAAGAGCGCGTTTTTGCCATGCCAAAAGGCATTGCCAGTCACAGAATGGCCAGGGTTGGAAGGGACCTCAAGGATCAAGAATCTCCAACCCCCGTGCCACATGCAGGGCCACCAACCTTCTCATTTAATGCTAGACCAGACTGCCCAGGGCCCCATCCAATCCACAACCTCTCTGGGCAATATCACATCCATATCATGAATTAGTAAAATATCAGTCCATATCATGAATATCAGTCCATATCATGAATTAGTAAAAGCTTCGCTGTCAAGGTGCAAATGGTTTTCAAGTTGTAGCATTTTTATCCATACACTTATGTAACACTATCCACGCGTTGTTCAGGACTACGCTCAATACCTGTATGTGCGATTCCTCTGGTTCACAGAAGCCGTTCTAACAGGGCTCTGCTGTGAGGGAGCCATGTTGCGCGTTGGGCTAGGCACGTAGTCATTTGGTACCACCGGGGGACGTACTGGCTCCAACGTACGATAAGGAGAGTGACGCCTACACAAGAACAAGCATATTAAAGAAGCAAATTAGACAGTACAGACCAAAGCCACTTTTTGTTCTTTAAAAAATTAACTACTTCCTAATCAGTATCAAGAGTTAAAGGTGTTATTCTGTAAGTTTTTAATATCTACTTTGGAGGATGACAAAAACATTTAAGGATGTTCTTCATGTACTTCTATTTCCAGATGTTTTCCTACTCGTAAGCTCAGATGCAAATTCCATTATTGTTTTAAAAGTATCTTATTTTAAAGGTAAAGCACTGCAGTCTGTATACACATACATAATCACTTACTAGCAAGCAGCGTTCCTCCTGCTTACAGTACAGTAAAGTTTCCTGAGGACTTTACCTGTAGAAGTTGGGTCAAATTCAAGTTCACAGTCTTAAAAGGAATTATGTTTCTTACATACCACAAATCAACAGTGTCATGTACCAATTTTCCAGTTGTTTAGCATCACCTGTCAAAGCCACACAGCTGATGATTCTTCTCTAAAGCATGTAGATGTGTTTTGCAATGATACAAAAAGGTTGGGAAGGGCTGATGATGCCTATTATCTTCTGGCAGAAATGTATTCAACAGTATGTAACCAGTGATGTGATCAGTGTAAGATGCTGATGTACCACCTGTTGACCGTTGTGGATGATTAAAGCAGAACCAGGCAATCAAAACACACCACACCACACAAAAATCATCTTTTGTTCCTGTTCACCTAAGCCCTTAACATGCTTGGTAACTGCACTTACCCAATAGTTCCTTTTCCTGACATTGGTGGACTTGGTGGCTTCTGGGTGGGTGGTGTTGTACGTGGCAACCCACCCATCTTCATATTCTGTGTGCTGACCTGCATGAGAGAACGAGGAGAGAAATGGCCTTCTCTAAGCTCAGCGTCTAGGGGGAGAGATGCCTTCAGCAATTAACTCCAAGTAAGGGAAGGTTTAAACAAACAAAAGATCAACTGAGAGGCCATGCATTCTATATGTAATTTCCACTCTGCTGAAAGTCAAGAGTTGTGCTCAAAGGACTCTTTATTACACGGGGTTTTCAAAAATGAGTGAATTTGCCTTTAGGCTATCACAAACATTAAATCAGTGACAATACAGGCACTGTATCTGACTTGCTTAAACCTCCCAGACAACCTTTAAGAACAAAGGCAGTTAGTTCATGTTGCCCTATTCAGTAGTAAATTTCCAAAAATAATTTTGAGTACTCTTTAAAACTATTAAAGCTTATCTAGTATGCCACAATTTAATATACTAAATACAAAATGCACAGAAGTCAACATAATTTCCAAATATATTTCATTAATGTTTTAACATTTTCACAGAACTTAATATAGTATTTATTACCAATTTATTTATACCATTTATTACCAATACACATTTAAAATGATAAATAAAGCTATATAGACAAAAATAGAGATGCACTTTTTCCCCCATCATATTTGTAGCAAATTAATCTCTAATAATTGATAAATAAATGCATGGGGAGAAAAATTATTTGCAGTGGTGTGATGTGACTGTGGCCACCCCTCCCATTCTTTCAGGTTTAATTACTAACAAAGAAACTTCTATATAAAATAATTTAATATAACCTCTAGAAAAAGAAATCATCTGCGTTCCTGGCTGACTGCTCAATCTAGACATCATAAACAAATACCACCAATGGCATTTTGTTTACCTGTATGCTGTCAGCCAAGCACAATTCTCTCAATTCATTCACCATTACAGGAATCTGTATGCAGCCTTCTTAAAAGTCTCTGTTAAACAGCTTTTGATCTACAAATGCTCAGACTATTGTTGAAAATCTCTATATCCAAGCAAACTAAAGTAAGTACATTCATGTCTCTTTTTCTTTTGTTGCTGTTGTGTTTGATTTCATAGTTTTTCTCATTTCCAAAAAGAAAATCTTGTCTAATGTCCCATTAAAAAAAAGAAAAGCACAGTGATCAACACACTAGGAACATTTGCAAATATTATTAAAAAGGCAAATTACTCCTTCATAATTTGTCCATAACAATGCACTTAAACCACTAGCAATGCTCAGTTTTTTAAACTTACAAATACTGAGACAGCATAAAGACCAATACATTCAGTATTCTAACTCTCAAATTTGATTTCCTAGCTCTAAAGAACCCCACTGCTATCACAATTTAAATTACCTGGGAGGAAAAAAAAAAACAAGTACTGCAAGCTTGGTGACTTTGCTGTTTTGTCTGTCAGATTCAAAACCAAACATTTGGACTTGGTTGTGCAACAGTGCTTTCCAACATCAATTTATGAAAAAAGTATTTTAAACAACATTATAAAGTCCTTTAAGCCAACTCTAAGCAACAAGAATTCTAAAGTTAATTCAAGTGAGGTATGAGGTAAGCACTGAACTACAATTACTTGAAGGGAAGATGGAAAGTGTAAAATGAAGAATATTTTATTCTATACACGGAATATTAATAGGTAGCAAAAAATCCTCTTTTTTTTTTTGTTTTTGTTTTTGTTTTTAAAGTTGCAGCAGCCCTTGTATTTTCTCTTTCATTAGAGACATCTATTCCACCCACCTATTTCAGTTGTACAAGAACAAAACAAAGAAACCAAAAAAACCACCAGTCACCACAACATTGCTCATTACAGCTTTTTCAAAGAGCCCGTTACACTCAGCAGAATAAGGCTTGTGGGTGTCTTTAGATGACAGCCGGCAGCCCAACCCATGTGCAGTCCCTGCAGGTGTTTCAGCTGGCCACTCTGGATTCTCCCTACATAATGCCAGCACCAACTATCACTTTACAGAACATCCCACGCATGTAACCCTACTTTCAAGAGTAATATTACTCGTACACAAGAAGTGAAGTGTTAGTCTTCCAGTGGGCTACAGTGACATGGGAAAGGAAGGAAAGCGCAGTTAGAGACTAAAGTGACATTGCACAGCCAACAGTCAGCAGAAGCAATACTTGTCTGATGGATGCACAATTCCAGTTACTGACAGTTGCTTTTGTTATTACTGCTAACAAAGATATCCCTGGCACAGGAAAGGAAGAAAGCTTCAGAAAACACGGCTGAAGAAAAAGTGGCCCTTTGTTAGACAAGGAATTTTAGTCACAAAGATGCCGTTCTTCAAAAGGACTACGCTGAAAGATGGGGAAATGCACTGACAGTGAGCTCGGTTTCAGGCTCTTTGAAATGACTTTTCACTGTTGAAACTGAAAATGCTGAGAAAACAAAGTTTACAGGACTGTCTTCAAATCTGCCAGGTCCAATGACTTGAAGACTAGCTACTGAAAGTTAGACAATTCCATCTGAATAAAATCCCCTTTCACTTAGGGCCAAATAAATTATCAACAATCAAAATGGACAGATCTCTGGAAATGCTATTACACAAGACACTGAAAGGCTACAGACTAACTTAGGAAAATTAAAAGAATTACGTTTAGAACTGTACTAGGGGTAACCTCTGTTGAAATACAAACACTGAAAGATTTCCAATTTTTCCCCTTTTGTCTAAGAGGCAAAAAGAATAATTATTAATAAAGCTATTAATACCCCCCTGACCCTAACAAATCTTTACTCTGTTGTTACTGCCTTTCTCATTTTGCATATATGGTTGCAAATACAGTTTGAGACAAGTCCTCATCCACAATCATCCCTCCTAGATGATTCTGCAATCCAAAGCAAGCACTAGAACTCATGGTCACATTTACAGTTGCTGTCAGTTTTCAAAAAATCAGTTTTCCAGTCAGAATCAGTTGGAATTCCCAAGTAAGCTGGAGCTTTCTAGATAAATGTTGCACTGTTTCTGATGACATTTCCCCTGGTTCCACACAGCTCTACATATCCAGCTGCAACTGGCTTAACTGGAGGGAAAAGCAAAGGAACACATCTGCCTGTTAGTGGTTTGTGTAACTTCAGGTCTCCACAGATCCATGGTTGGTTTGTATCTAAGAGCTTGCAAATTCTTTTAGGAAACTACGTGGCAAAACAGAGCCTGCAACCAAAATCACAAAGCAGCTCACTGTTGTGCTAAAAACAAGAAAAGATTAAGAGAGGCAATAATGACCAAGGCACAAAGTGTCAGAAAAAAAATCACTGACTGGGTAAAAGATGAAAGACAATCCGTGAACCCAGAGCAGCATTACACATGGTCTACACAGAATGGATGAAGGGATTTTTTCAATGTTTTGCCTCTTTCCAAGGAGGCAAAAACACAGAAAACATCACCCATTGAAATTACATGGAAGGATTCCAAATAATTCTAGGGAGAGGACACAAGCACTCTCAGAAAGCATTTCTTATTTCTTTGACTGGGTACCTTACAGAAGCTTTTTTTTTATTTTATTTTTTATTATTTTTTTTAACACGCAGTAGCATGCTACAGGTCCACAACCAAAAAGGTCTAAGGACCAGAGCTGTAACTCTGGCAGTGCTGGGGCTAAAATGTGATGCTTTGCTGAGGAAGAAACTGCATAAACAACATAAAACAAGCAGCTCCTTACTAGCAACACATCCTGGAGGACGCCCCGAGACTCAGCTCCACAGTAAGAGCAGTAAAACAAACTTTAAAGAAACAAAAGGTCCAAAGTGACTGAAACAGACCATTCTGTTTAAAAAAAAAAAAAGGCACTATTGCCTGAACAAGAAGTGCAGAGATATATGGCTGGTCAGACAGACCTGCTCAAAGTATTTGCACTAACATACCATTTATTTACAGAGCTTTAAGGCACTTAACTGTTGATCTAAACAGCTTTAAAAAAACTTCACTGCAACAAAGATTCAAATCCAGAACACACTCACTTTTCAGCCAAGCATCTCACTGTTAGATTCATTACCAAGATAAAGTGATTTCCCCCCAGAAGACTGAAGAGCATATATTCCAAACCTCAGGAAGAACTAAACCTAAAGTTGGACTCTGCCCAAAATTTTCTAAGAGCTGCTTTACTGTCAAACCAAATTTTCTAGATCTTTCAAGTCAGCAAAAGATTTGGCAAATCTAATAAACTGTCCCCCATAGTGATGTTCCACAGATTACATTCAGGAGCTCCAAGCAGCTATCCAGCCTTCCTGAGCAATTTAATACCTGACACTGCAAAAACTACCTAATGCTGAACAAAAACTTCTTATGCCTCACTTCATCTTGTGAAAGGTCCAGAGAGGACAGACTACACTTTCTTTTGCCTGTCATCTGCTCCCTCAGAGTAAACTCCTTGCCAGGTTGGGCTTGGCTACTTGAGTAGTTATTCTGGAAATCTAATTAAGTAGTACATCCATCAGTTGATAAACAAGTTGATATGGAAGAGAAAGTCTATATTTCAACCTTGTCTTAGCTAACAACCACAAGTAAAAGCTTCTGCAAACAAGTTCCCGCTTATACCATGTTCACCTACATAAAGTAATTGAAGAACCAAGTCCAGTAAGAACAAAAAGGCTTCAACAATGTTGTTCTAAATTGATCTGCTGACAGGAGATGGTGCAGATACTACTCCTCTGACTTGTAGCTGTAGTTTTGTTAAAACTGTCTCTTAAATTTAAAAGCAAGCTATGCAGACAGAAGCAAGGTTTGCCTCATGAGTCATTTTAATGCTGGAACTCTCAGCCAAGACTACTGTTTCTTTGCAGCAATAAAAAATAAATACAAACCGAACATTTCATATGAAATCTCTCAAGTGAAGTAAAATTCATATCCACATGGAACTACAGTTAGTGGCCTTCTTTCAGTTTTCTCCTTTCAGGCTGATGCACTGCGACTATGAGGACTCCTGAAGACAGTAACATACATCCACTAATGGGGTTCTTTTTAAACCCTAGTTTTGGCAATGAGGAGATGCCTGACATTTTAACTGCCAAATGGAATTTATGATCAGGTTCACTCCAATGAAATGGATAAATACCTCAGCTGATGTTATAACAAATAATGTTATTTTCATTCTAAACCCATAAAAAGAATTTAAAAAAAAATCTGAAAAGCAGAAGAGATTTTCCACGATTGCAGACAACGCATAGATATGGCAGTTCATGCATAATCTGTAGTTACTTTTTTTAGGATGGTCATTACTGGTTCATAAAGCAGAAAGCAACAAAGGAAACCCAGTTTGCCCATTCCCTTTCTAAAAGCATTATCTAGCATGGGCTGCATGCAGAATAAGGCATGACCAGCACCAGAAGTATCCATTTCATACAGATAGACAGCAACAGACAGGGAGGAGATGTATTTTATAACCCTCAAAAAACATTTAAACACTACGCGACTCAAAATACAATACTATACCTTACACTCATGTGAGAAATCTCCTTTCATTTATTAAAAAATATCAATTGTGATCAGACGTGCTACATACACAGCAATACCTTACCACAAGTACCAGCTGGCCAACCCCACAGGGGCATCATTAGGATATCTACACTAGCAGCTATTTAACAGGAACGTGCAGGGTTTTCTTTTAGCTTTTTAGCCACAGGAAATACTTAGTAATGAAAAACATTTCACATCAACTTGGAACTTCATTTAATTAATATTTTCCATGTGATGTCTTAGTATTCTACACTTTCAAATGCAGCTCCCTCTTTAAAACTACGGCTGCCACTAAAGCAATTTCATTCCCTCTAACCCAAATCCCCAAACCAGATGCACTTCAGGAAGACAACAATACCAAAATGCTCAGTAAAGGCTATAGCCTATTTACTACTTAATGCATCCCAATGCTGGATCATGCAACTTCATCAACTTCTTGTCAAATGTTGAGGCTTTTTGCTGTTAGTACTGCAGCCGCTAACACTACTAACATTTGAATATCTCTGAGATCCTCAGCAACTTGCCATACTCCAGTCTGAATTTCTGACACATTAGTCAATTAATAGCCTACCAGTAACTGAGTGGCTCTTCATATTTAAATACTGCTACCGGTTTCTGAAAAAATTAAGGATACTGCAACTTTAAAAAATATGTACAGATTTCAATTATTACTATTATTTTATTTTGCACACCTTTAGAGCCCCCTTACTGGAGCAATGCTTATGCTGAAACATTAATCCCAATCAAATAATAACTCATACCGTATATAGGATAAAAAGAATATTACACAGGGGGAGGCTCATGTCCAGCTGCTAGGTAGTCATTGTGTTTTTGTTTTTTTTTTTTAAACACAGCACAATATTCCTCCTCTATAAGCAATCTGGTAAATACATTTAAGAGAGTCAATATTTTGCCACAAAACTTTAAAAATGAACTGCTAGCTTCCTTACACAAATACGTCAATTTCCATCACAAAATGTTTATCTGCAATGAAATCATTCAACAGATTGTCTGATACACAGGAAGGAGAGCAACATTGTTTAAACAATCTGTAACATTCACATAACCATCTCCCCGTGTGTAATAGTCTCAGAAGAATAAGAATGGGAATCCAGCCCTGGGATTTCTTACCTTAAATCTAAGCAACCACTTAATGCATAAATGGAGCAAATAAAAGAGGTAAGGAAAAAAAGCATTGAAAGGTTAGTTGGAACTTCAGGATATGAAGAGAAAGGAAAAAGAAAGAAAAAAGTTAAGCATTCAGCATTAACAAAATAATGTATCAGTAGATCATAGAAAGAGTGGCTAAAGCAGAATGTGTCATGAATAAAAGATTTTCAAGCTGAAACTTTCAATATATGTTGATCACAAAGCCCTTAGATTAACACTTCAAAATTAAAGCCCAATTGTCAGTACACTGTTTACTCGAGTTCTTACAGTACTAACTGTAAGTCACCATCCTTCAGAATGGAAAACAAGATCTTGATGGATTAACTTCAGAGATTAATTTTTGGAGTTGTCAAAGAATGGACTTATCAATACCCTGAGCTTAACTGAACTCAGTTACCTGCATTAGTATTTTCACAACCAGCTGAAACAAAAGGCTCTAAATATTGATCTAATACATGCTCTTTCCTAGACAATGCTAGTAGTTAACTCTTAATCTGGTCCAATGAGAAATCTCTTGAACAAAGACCAAGAGTAAATCATCATGCCTTGTGCTTTTGGCATGAAGTCATACAATATCTCACTGGCATAATACCATATATTTTCTTTCCCCGTAATAAAAATATCAGTACAAGCAATCCTCCCATTTTAATATCTTTTGATCTGTTTTCAGTTCAGCTGATCTAAACATGTTGCACATCACACTTCTTTAATTTCTTGTAACACCAAATGTAAAACATAGCAGAATCTCAACAGCCAGGAATACTCTGGTTCATCCACTTAGCTCATAACGAGAACCTAATGTAGCAAAGAAAGCATAATTTGATTTACTAGAAAGCAGCCTTCAATTCCAAAATTCCATGTTGATATTAACCAAAAAAGTCACTGCTTCACAGGAAAGCCAGGTGTCCTTGTAGTGGCCAGAAAGAGTGTCAAATACACTAAAGGGTCCAGGAGGGGGTGATCCTTTCCTCGGCAGTACTGCTTGGTAATTACAGTACCTTAAAACAGCTACACATCACTTCAAATGGATCAAACTTTTTTCTTTTCCATCATCCTGACTAGAAAACCTCATGGAAGGAAAAGCAGAAGACTCTAACCCAGGAAACATTCAAAAACAATAGAGCAAGTCCCTTTCAGATAAGAAGTTCTTTGTATTTTTGCAGCATTGTGGCTTCAGAGAAGCAAGATGAGGGACCACTTAGAATGATATAGTGGCATTTAAATTCTCTCCCATCATACTATAAAGCTCATTTCCCAAAGAAGTTACCCACCAGTGTTTTGAATTTCCAAAAGTGATATAGCTGGTTAATAAATTCAAAATCATCTACTTCAACTTGACACGCTGGATTTCTTGGCCAAGGATGCTCCCGTTTCCCCTTTATTTTATTCTCAGTCCAGTTCACAGTCATTTTCAGGGACCGCAATGAATGCGTGCTACACTACTTTATTCATTGTCTTGATAATAAATAACTTTGTGTCCCAGTGCTAGAGGGAAAGCCCTACATCAGGAAAGTAGACAGAGGATTAATAATAACTAGAACTTCAACACTATTTATTCAGTAACTTGTCAAGTACTCATTTTAAGGGAAAATGCTCAATTGCTAAATTGCTTTTAAGCTCAAGCAATGTACGACTATAAATAAGCAAATTTAAAGCTAACTCTCATCTTTTTTCTCTTTGTTGTCCAGCAGGAAATCTAGTAAACTATTCTGCAGTTACTCAAGCAGAACAAAATTAACAGGCTGATAAACAGAACTGGCCACTTTCTCCCTACCAACAAGAGAGTGGTTCCTTCATCAGCACTGAACACAGAATTGGATCAACTGGAATTGATCTATGAATGTTATTGTTTCACTAAGCACACAATGCTTTTCTAAGGCTTTTCACATTTTTTTCTAGATTAATATTGTACATTGCAAACAGTACATTTGCATGCGGTTTCAAGTATATCACAAGCAGAACAAGTGGATGCAAATGCATATTTGACTCATCAGCCACTGCATCACAGTGGGTCTGATTCTGCTACATTGAGGTAAGTAGAATAGCAATCATAAGGGTTTAAAGCCAGTGGGAAGTAACATTGTGTTGTAGAGCAATTAAAATTTTTTAATGAGTTCTAAAATAATTTCATTAAAGTGATCATAATTATATTATCAAGAACAATATCCAGACAGAGTTTTGTTGACCTGCAGATTTTCAAAATTTGAATTGGTAGTAGATTTTAGACATAAGAATTGTAATGATTTCCTAGACAAAATAGTAGCCGTTACTGATATTGCAGGAGTTGTTTTGGTTTTCTTTCTTTCCTTGTTCATATTTTTTCTCTAAATTTAAGAGTTACTTGTCTGTTGAAAATCTGATTAAGGTCACAAACTGAAGTTGAATGTTTTGGTAAGAAATGGTGAAAAATCTTTTCTGTTGACTAAGAGGATGTGAAGAAGACTAAGTAAAATTGTTCTGAAGAAATACTTAAACAGGACTGTTAAGAATTTGAATTTTAGAAGTCAGGTTAAGCAACTTGCTGTCACCTAAATCCAAGGTGACAGTTCAAACTGAACATCACAGACAACCCAATGCAGATAGGTATCAAACAAAAAGAAATTCTTGTGTAGTTTGACTGGAAGAAGCATCTTATTGTACTGCTAACTTAGAGGCTTACAGATTTCTAAGTTTGTCACATAAAAATGACACAGCTTTGTGTTATTTACCTTTCTTCTCTTGGAACTTTAACTCTGTCAGTGTTCTCATTTCCATATTTGTTTTCCTGGCAGCACAGTTTAACAATGAGACAATGACATGCCTGCTAAGACTCTGCTTGCATTCAGGAAATGCTTTGAAAAAAATCTACATACATGTAATCCCACACTTGACATGACTGCCGTTGTGCGCACTGTTCTAACACTTGTATAGAACAGCCACCAATTGTGTCTTATTCTGATCTTTACCCCGAAATTCACTTATCCTAGTCTTAAAAGACCAGGATCAGCTGGCTTTGAGCCTGGCACTACTATTCTGAAACCTCTGTGGGGCGAAAAAGTTGTAGAGAGCTCACTTTAATAAAGCACATTACAAGATACGGGTATGACAGACTGACAGAAGTTAGAGAAGAGAGCAACTAATACTACTTATGCAAACGCTTTCTTCAGATGAGCTTCCAAGTAAACCAGGGGCAATTAAAGCTGGATCATACTCTGTGTTGCTAATTCAGAGAGAAAAGTGAGAGACAGTCATTAACCTTTCATAATTCAGGTAGATCCTGACAACTGACCCAAATAGTGAGAGCAGCATCACACAAGAACGCATTTAGAAGCATTGTAAAAGCTGAGATGTACAGTCCCAAATATCCTCAGAAATAAGATTCAGTGAGTTGTGAGGTTCAAGAATAAATGGAAGGGGAAAGAGTAACTGCAGTCTTGCAGAACTCCTCTTACACCTACAGACACACTGGCCAGGCAAGGAGAAACTGGTATATTACCATGAAAAACATCAAGTTATTTTGTAAATACACATAGACAAAGTATTTGCAGTTTGGCTGTTTTAACAATATCACCTACCTTCACTCCATGTCCAATATCATCTAGAATTGTATAATCAATAGGTTTCCTGATGTAGCGAACTGGTCGCTCCAAGTTAGCTGGTGCAATGATTTTGTGAGTTCTTGAGGTGTTTTTGTTTGTAGTCAAGATACCAATTTCTCTTCTAGCAACTTTTTCTTTGTGAATGTCCACCGTCTACAAAAGACGCAGTGTATTTACTAACAGTGGTATGCATTTGAATACAGAGTCAGTAGACAAAAAAAAATACCCTAACTAAATCAGTTTTGATACTGTGCTAAACATATCACTACATATGCTTGCTTACATCATCTTTGATTTACTGTTGAACTTGTCACCTCCAAACCTAATGGCCACAAGTTCTCTGGATTTTCTATTACTCTCATTCTTAACAACTGAGCAAAATATTTTTTATTTCCTATGAATTTACTGACACTGATTTATACAATTCTATTAATTATCTTTTTTAATTCTACAACTGCTTCCTCAGCTGGTCTTTGAAATATCCTCCAACGAGATGAAGCATAAGGATATCTTCCCAAACCTGAACTTCTACAACCTGAAAAACAAATTGTAAGCTGCTTTTCTCACACTAAGAGAGTTTGCTAAGCTAGCACTGGTAGCTATACAGCAGAATACAGCTTCTCTCAGACAAATGAGACAAGATACTTCAGTCAATACAAACTCGTCATCAAAAAGCAATGCTGAAATTTTATGTCATTAAGCCCAGTGCCTTCCTTTAGAATGGGTAAGGCTTGCACAGAAAAGTCATCCCTCCCATAACATAAATATCATACCATGAGTACCACAGGAGAATATCTACCTCAGAAACAAGGTCCTACTGAAAATTCGTTCTTTGAAAACACATACCTGAATTTTATTTATTTATTTTAATAGGAGAAGGAAAAAGACAACGTTATCAAACAAACAACCCATCTCTCGCAGGGAGAAAAACAACCCTCTTAAAGCAAGGTGCAGAGTTGCATGCAGCATTAACAAAAAAAATCATCATCATTTGTTGGTAAAACAACTTTGCCTACAAAAAACTTCACAGATGTGAACATTTTAGTGACAGGTTAAAGTGAGAAAACACTCAGAATTACCATCATTAATATTGTTAATCATTCATAAAATTTCTTGTGAGCATGAATGATACCGCAGAGACTTCTTGCAGCCAACACAAACACTCTGTAGCAATTATGAAGGAACAGGTACAAATGAGAAATTATTTTCATAACAAAAGTTTTCTGAATTTTATTTTTCTGTGGGCAGGCACTGGAACAGCAATGTTGGTTACAATGTTTTACACTTTTGCTTGAGCCAAGGATAACAGAAGCAGTAAAAACAATCTATATTATCTATGAAAATAATTCTAAAACGTAAAACAAATGAACAACAAAAAAACACAACAAAAACAAGCAAACAAAACAAACATACAAAACTCCACCAAAACAAACAAACAATACTACCTAGAAGTTGTTTCTTCAAACTCTTTCCAGAGAGTTTGAACATCTCCCCAAATGTTCAGGGCACAGTGTGCAAGTTTAAATTACAATCTATCAAGATTACCTATTATTTCCCAGGAACTTATTTTCAACACCTTGCACCTTAGCTAAACTGAAGCAATTAATACAGCTTTGTCATGTCCATTTCTGCCACTTCTGCTACCACTTGCCTAGAGCAATAAAGCTTCTACCAAAGCTATTTCTTCAAACAAAGCTACCAAGTAAATAGATTATTCAATCTTGGAATATGTTGGCAATCCTGTCTTTAGAAAGCTCAAGTTCATTGGGTAACGACTGGAAATCTATTAGGGCAGTTAAACTACCTGGGATACATTCCCTATCACCCTTACAAAAACCCACTCAAATCTGGTCAACACATGAATCTTTGCAGAAATTCACACTTTGTGCAAGCTTAATTTAAGAATTAAGCTGCTCCACAACTAATTTTGCCAAAGTCCCTTCTGAAGTTTCCTGGGATAACCAGGTATACATACCATCCCCCAAGGCAACAGTGTGAGTCAGATTCTTCATGTCTCATACAGTGCTTATGGCACCAGAGCAAACAGCACATGCACATGTTCCAATCCAACACAGGAAAAAAGTACCATTTTGCATCAGGGTAAAATCCACTATTCATCTTCTGACATATTTTAGTCCCTACCCTGTGCCCAACCTTCACTTTGATAGTTTAGCAGAGGGAGAGGTTCACATCACTATTATACTCAAAAGGTGTTCTACAAAAACCTGCCTTGGCAGCTGGAGACTTAGCACAAACTGTTTTGTCTGTTTGTTTTGTCTTGGTTTTTATAATCTAACTGCATGCATCTGTAACAACTTGAAAGACAGCTTCATGTTTAATACCACAGAAGAATTCCATTCTCTACTGCTATCTCAGACTTCGCCTGTGATATAGACATGACACTAGAGAAGTACAGAAACATTTTATGTTCTTTGTCTCATAGGCCTCTGATCCCATTTGCTGAAAAGTTAAACAACCCCAGCTGCCGAGCAACTGCCTCTCAATTGCTACATAATATGTCAAATGTACTACAACATCACAGTCCTGTGGCTCTGAATCAAAACTTTATTTCTACCTTAGACGCTACTTTCTTAGAGCTTCGGCTTCAAGCTACGAAACAGAGAAAGTAATTCAGCACAGCACTGGGGAGTTTTTCTTACTCTCTGCATTTCAAGTGCATCACTTCTGCAAACTTAATCATGCACTTTTAGTATTATATTACACAATTATCTACAAACATAAGGTGAATGAAGATATTTAATGCACGTGTTACCGTAGAGACAGCATCTTGGCACTGTCAAAACTTGTTTCCATGAATTATGAGAGGGTTTATTAATAATTAAGTAGGAATTGTAAGAACATTCAGTTTCCTTAATGACTACTGTGATAAATGAGGCACAACTTCAGTAACAAGCGACAAAAAACAAAGTCTGATTACAACCTGAAGCTCATCTAACAGGGGTTCTCTTGCACTATGATTCAGAACATTTCCTTTATCTTTAGCAGCAATGGGATGACTAAGCCCATTAAACACATCCACTTCAGGCAAACGTACCCCAAATTGTATTGTGTTGGAAGGTTTTTCAAAGAAATTCATTTTCTTGATTAGTTGACTACTGGAATTATAAGATCTTAAGACATTTGTATAATAGCTGAAAAGAACATTAAGCTATTTGATTAGTAGAAAAAAGAACAAAGATTAACCTGCTACTAAAGAAAATCAAAATATTTATCTACAGCAGAGATAATTATTGTCTCCAGAACTAGCATAAATCCCTTAAGTGAGGCAGAAGAATGTCAAAAGAATGTTTATTTCCTGATATAGAAACTTCTACTGAGAAGCATCAATTTCAAATGATTCTCTTCAGAAAAACTCCAAGAATATGACAAATAAAGTGTGTTTCATTGTTGGGGGTTATAGCTGGATTAGCAGAACACCAAATTTGTGAAGTCTGGCAGGAGCAGCAGATGGGATATACTCTGTACTTCTATAATTTAAAATATTATTGTCTGATAAAAAATGTCTAACTCCTGACAGGGTTAAACATTTTTTCCCCATCGCTCCATTAGGCAAAAGCATTTACATAATAGAAAGTTCATTAGAGGTTAGACTCATCATTACCATTTTTTCAAATACCCTCCATAACATCTGCAAAAGGCAATCAATGACTTCAGGAGAAAAACAAAATTAATATTATTCACCACTTTACTTAGGAGTCAGAGTTTTAAAAAATATTTTTTTTTTTTGCTATGAATGAAATTTCCCAGAATATTAAGTTAGCACATTGGAAACCCAATCTGCTGTCAAACTTCAGAAACAAAAGTCTCCACAGCCTTCAATTTTTCCTCTACTCAAAACATCCTACTTTTCAATTTTCAACATACTGTCAGTCTGTTTGGGCTTTTAAAATACACTTTAAAAACACCTTCTGAGAAAAGGCTGCTTAAGCACAATGACGCTAAGTTGTTTGGCGAGTTGTTTTTTTTTTAATATATCTTAAACTATCTTATTTCAAATTCGTTTGAAAACTGGACTATTACTTTAAAATGAAAAACTGACATCAGAAATGTAACATCTTTGTTGCTTCAACAGAAGTTAAATGTACTCTGTACAGTAAGAGGTCATAATGATAAAGATGCTGAAGAGCTACCTACCCAATTAACTGGTAAAATCTACTGTGCAAAATTAGACTTGTGTTGCCATTTTCAGAGAAGTCTGTCTATTCTTAGAATTTGCCATTTTTAGAAAAGTCTGGCTATATATAATTCACAGGAAAAAGACAACTGAAAACAGTTACCAGCCTTACCGACAGCTCAGTGGAAGATCCAAGGGAACTTCCATGCAGAGACCACCTGGCTCACGCACACTGCTGCAGTTCAACCAAGCATCATGTGCTGACTACAGAAGAGTTCAGCCTGTGACCCATTCACTGCTCGTGACTGGCAGCACCATGGGAGACAAATTCTACAAGAAGAGGATGAAGCAAGTTTCTCCATCCTACAGCACCACTGGAGACAACACATCACTCTTACTATATTTGAACTCCTTGTGACAGAACACTTGTTTATATAATTACAGCAGAGAATAGTTTTAAAGTTCAACTTTCTCACTAAGAGCATGTTATAACTAAATTTGTCCAAATCATACAAATAGTAAAACCTGAAAATCTGCAAAATTACTTTAAAGAATTTGGAGATGATGTTTCACAGCATCTGCTAACTTGAAAAAATTTTGACAGAACTTTTATAATGAGTTTAAACATTTATACAGACGATCTGTATTTAGGATTGAAATTATTCAAATATAAAACAATGCATATTATCTATTACTGGACAAAGATCAAGAAAGCAAGTAAGAACAGATAGATTCATCAGCCTTCAGACTAAAACAAAATAATCTAGATTTTAGACCAACAGGATTTAAATCACTCTCATTAAAATGATTTCCTTATTGAGGACCCATATGCAATTTGAACATCCACAAACGGTCATCAGTTTCCGTCCCAGTTCTTTGATTAAGTTGACATTTAGAAGGAAATACAGAAAATGACATAAATTTGCATTCTACGTATGAACGGAGAACTAGAATACTTTATCCTCTGAAGTCATTGTGACGCCGAGTTTGAGCTACATTTAAGCAAAATAAGTACTTTTGAAAAGGTTGCGGTTTGTGGGTGTTTTTTTTTTATTTTATTACTTTTTATTTTTTTTTACTAAAACCCAAACAGTTTTGCTCCCCTCTTTGGAGCACATACCGGATTTTGAATGAGAATTAAAAGCAGGGCTACACAACTACACATCATAACTTGAACTAGTGTTTTCTAAATTTAAATCTCACTGCATACTGACCAAAGTATTAGTGCAGTAATGCACTGCCAGATGTGAGCAGATGGTAGTTGCCAATCTGTTATATGTTACTGATATCATTTCAAGTCAGAGAGAAAAGATAATTTGGCCATGAGGTGTTATTATACCATAAAGTGTTTAATGTCACTTGACAAACAACAAAGAAAAAGATGGAAGAAATCTTCCACAGGTTTGACTGGTTCCAGGAGTATAGTCCAAGTTACTGAACTGAAATTATTTATTACATAGCAACTGTAACAAAAATAATTTTCTAAAGAAAAGTAACTACTGAAATTAAGAGAGAATATAACACAACATCAGTATTGTCAGATGGACCCATTTCTGAGGGCATTAAATACAACTTAGTCTTAAGTTCCTAAGACCAGCACACTTCATGTAAGCGTCTGTTCTTCTGATATTACTTCTTCTATGAAGATATGGGGAGCATCCTATATATGGATAATACAAAAAGGCAACAAAAAAAACCTTCTGTTTTCAATTCTACAGAGATATTAAAAAAAAAAAAATCAGAAAAATTTAATTTTGCTTGGTTGTACAAATGCAGCCTGCGAGGCTCAGCTGTTAAAAAACACTGGCACCAGGTACCAGGTACTGGTAACTTAGCATTCCATTTTTAGTAACCATCCCTTTTGTACAAGAGACAAAAACACACAATCTAACATCTCAACCTGCATAAAATCCAGGTTCTCAGAACGAAAAAATTAAAAATGCCATGAACCTTTCCCCAGAATTGCTTTACAGAAACTGTGTGACAAATGTACTTCATGTACATTTCTATAAAATAGAAAATCCACTGAGTTCAAGTAGTTTTATTCTGTATTCCATGCTAGGCTCTCTAATAGCCAAAATACCTGTCAGCTGGCACTAACCTCCTAAGAACTGTATACATACACATGGGCACACCCACCACCCACCCACACAGAAGTATATACACACACATCCAAATCACAGAATGACTTGGGACCCCAGGTATCATTAAGTTCCAACGCCCTTGCCAGAGGCAGGGCCACCAACCTCCAGATCTGGCACTAGACGAGGCTGCTCACGGCCCCATCCAATCTGGTCTTGAACACCTCCAGGGATGGAGCATCCACCACCTCTTTGGGCAGCCTGTGCCAGCACCTCACCACTCTTTCGTAAAAAAACTTTTTCCTGACATCCTAACAGAAATACACAGCATACAGACACAGCATGTACATAGCCCATAAACATACATGCATGCAGAGTAACTTGTGACATTTTCCAGGGTAAAAAAAAAAAAAATTGAATTATGGATTACAAAAAGTATGCAGCAGAAGAAATGAAACTTCTCAGTTTTTTCTAAAGATGCAGCCACATGAGGTGGCTGAAGCCATAAAGTAGCATACCACCACCATCTATTTAGCAACCCTTTCAGCACAAGAAAGTTAACAGATCTCAATCCACCTCACAAACATAGTTTCAAGTTTTGGAGAAGTGTAAGAGCGATCATCCACAAGAGAGAAGACGAATTTCAGGTGGAGAAAAGATAACCATAATGGAACATGCTACAACATTTTCTTGTTAATAGATTGCACCCACCCACTCTCATTGACCTACTGATAAAAATATACTTTACTCTTTTGTTGGGTGTTTTTTACAGTTCAGTAAGAAAACCAAGTAACTCTACAGTAGTAGAAAAACAGAAAGTTCTGTATCATCATTCTTCCTCTTTTTAATCCATCATGGGCGTATAAACCTCCAACAAGAATAAACTGAGAAGGAATTATAGATTTGCTATCAAAACTTCCTCATCAGTGTGGTCGTACATGGCTTCTTGGTAACAGTAAACCATTTTATTGCTGCTCAATAAAACTGCAATGACAGGCATTTTGTAGCCATACACAAACTTGAAACATTAACGTTGCCATCTATTTACTCCATTACAAATTAAGAAAAGCCACACATGCTTTTACCAGATGCCACCAGTATGACAGCAACAAGAGAAGGGAAAAGACAAGTATTGTTTTCCACTATCTATTTCACTTTTTTAAATTTATTTTAAGAACCTGCAGCTATTCAATACCGCATACAGGAAGCCATGAACAAGACTTGGAAAGCTTAATCCATCTCTTAACATAATTTTCTGAATTTTCCATTAGCTGTTTACCTATGCTTTTCACTTCATACACAGAACAAATAAACCCATCTCCAAACAATAAACTGACCTCGGCTACATATAATCTCTTATCCTATGTAAAATATTCACAATACTATAGACATAAAAATCACACAGACACCCATTCCTAGATTCAATACTAGGAGAAATGCATCCCCCCCACTTTAAATCTAACCATTTTTCTCCCTCACAAAATGTCAGGTAAGTTGCACACAGAGTTTTACTCACTATGTAATTTCAAGAACAGAGAACAACGACAACAAGAAAAATCAGGAAAAAAGTCTCACTTGTGAAATATGGTTGATTGAAGATTCCATGCGCCGAAGTTGAGATGCCTGGATATCCAGCATTTGGAGAACATTGTTTGCCAAAGTGTTGATCAGATAGGCTACGCTTGCTAATGACTGGGTTGTGTAGGCTTTGGTTTCTTCTAGGGCTCGCTGCTTATCTGCTGACTGAAAGCAGAAATAAAAGGTTTATTCAGTAAGTCTCTCACACAAAGATTCATGGAATTAACTCATTTTGCCTTTCTTTATAGGACAATGAATTACAGAACTCAAACTAACTGTACATAAAAGCTACCATTTTTCCTCCTTTACATTTTTTTCCACTACGCAAAAGACATCAACTTTGTATGTTAACAGTTTCAGTATTTTATCAAAGGAATTAGGATAGTATACAACATGCTGATCTTGTCTAGGAACATTTTAATGTTTTAAAGCACAACTTCTTATATCACACTTTCATAAAAAAATTAAAAGCTCCAAAATACTTAATGCTCTTTATAGCTGTGATTTGGTTTGTTTATCCAATGAGACTAGAAAATGTTCCTATTACAGAATTCAAGCTTCCTTTTAAACTTTGTACATATTCCTCATCTCCCTCAATTATACTGACCCCACTATTACCACAAATGGTCATTAAAAATGGAGGCATTTAGCCACTGTGAATTAATTACTACTGTTCTCTTGAAGTGGTAGGTAAATTCAAATGTGAATGGAATCACATAAGTTCTTGTTGTTCTCCTGAATGTCTTGATCATTTTCACTCTGTATTTTCTTCTGCAAAGAATTAGTCTGACCTACGATTCTAGTAGAAGAGCACTTAAAATATCTAAGCTGTCAAACCAGAAGATCCATATATAAGAACATATTTCATTTCAAATACCATGAGAATTAATGAGCTAAAAGCCTAGTCCTCAAAGTGTTTCTCCTAGAATTAGTTAACATCAGTAGAACCTAACTCAGCATAAAGAATACAGCTTAATCCAATGGTAAAACACACAAATGAGACACTAATCAAATTCAGTTCCTGGTTTGCTAGGGTTAGGGATACAGTGAATTTCATTTCAGTCATCTTTATCCTCCTTATAGGCCAATGATGCTGTTGCTAAAATAGCAGGTGACAAGTGCTCTCTACACCCACCTGCCATTGTAATACTCTATCTTACAATTTCCTTTCCTTTATATATTTTTCGCACAGGTTGAGTACCAAGACTCAAGAAACATGCTTTTATTGGAGAGGGAAATTAAAGTGATTCTGTATGCTTCGGCACAAGCTGAATCTACTACCCATTTGACAACATGTGCTCTAAGGCGGCACAGAAAGCAACCATACCTTTATTATAGGAAAGTCATTCTTGTAGCACAAAGTATTTCATCAGACCTTGCACTAAGATTTCAAGGAATAGCAAGATTTCGAGGAATAAATAAATAAACAAATAAATAAAAACCACTACCACAACACATACACAAACATAGGACTTCAATTAAATGCCCAAAGATATTCAGTACTCTTCGCAAACTCTCATGTGTCCGTCCAGTCATGGCAATGGTCAGCCTGCTAACACTCCTCCTCCTTGCTGACCCCACTAGTGCCACTTTCCATTCTGCTTCCCAAAACGAGGACAGCAGCGGCAGAGCTCCTATGGACTGCAGAAGGGGTGGTCATCATCATATTTTGCTTTCTCAGGGCACAATATGATGATGGTCTCCAAGCAAGGACGCATGTAATGGCTCACATCTAGCCATAAAGCCTTAGAAAAGTACAGTCTTCAAACCCCATTTAAGAATCGCTGACTTTCAGCCATCAGGGTAACGTATATTTTATGTAGAAGAGTTCCAAACCTAGCTTAGGGACTCCCAAACAGAGGAATACAGAACTCTCTGCATCAACTCTCACACCATCAGCATCTAAAACGTGCTCCCTTCCCACTTGTAACCTCAGCTCAGCCTGCTCATACCACACCAGCAAGCACACATACCACAGGACATTTTCACAGCTATTCAAACAACTTCTGAATGGCAATAATAAAAATGACCAGAAGCGTGTCAGGTTTGCTCTGCAGCTGCTACCAAAGTCTATTTATAGAAGCAGAAACTGCTAATTTACATTAGTACACTCTACATCCAGAATAGCTGAGTAGAAGCCAGCAAGCACAATTTGCTTCATTAATAGCCAAAGTGTTTGAGAACAAAAGGAAAGCAATCTATCATTTTAGAAATTATGAGCCTCTGCTAGGGTTTTACTGCTTCAAGAGGTACAAATATAAATCCAAGTTCCAAGCTAGTTCTTCCACTGATGTACACCTAATACTCAAATTCAAGTCACTTCCATTTATACCCTTTTAACAAGGAACTGGTTTCTCAGAAGAAAACCTACAAACATCTGGATCCATTATATGCACAAAATCCCTTCTGATTGAGAGCCATGTTTTGGTGTTTGGCTGATAACCTGAACAAATATGATTTACTCCACATGCCATTATACAGAGTCCCCAGTTCTCCGATGCAAAGTTTGAACTTTTCTTGAACTTTCAGCTTCACCTCGCAAGCAATGCTAAGAAGATATCTGAGCATCACAGCTGGATCATCAGGAGACACAGCCTTCAGGAGATACCACCTCTGGATCATCGATGTTTGCTGTGCCATCACCAATCTGCACGCAGCAGCTCAGCATCCATCCTGGTAGCATTCTTCCCCCCCACAAAGCTCACCCCAGGCAGCCCCCACAGAGCACAGTGTACCTCCCTGCAGCTCTCAGCCCTGAGAGCTTCGCTTTCCCTCAGCACAGAGCTCTGCAAGGAGGATGTGCCACCTGCTGGCAAGAGCCACTGGCCCCACTGCAGCAGGAGCAGGACCCAGCACCGAGGCCCCAGCCATAACGCTGCCCAGTAATCCCTGGAAAAAGTTTCCAGTTTGTAGGAAGCACCCACTACTAATATACTGCTTGGCTTCCTTGAAAAACAAAACAAAATTATAAGCTTGATATATTACATGAGATGGATTGCCTTAGAGCTACAACCTAGACTACAAATTCAGTCAGCAAAGGTGCAATGGTACATGCTTGGAAAAAGTCATTAATAGTTACCACTTCAATATGCAAGTCCAAACTAAGCCTAACACTCTTCAGGAATGACAATACAAATCTTCACCAGAATATTTTTTTTTTTTTTTTTTAAATACTAGTGTGTACAACTCAAACTGCTAGCAGTAGAAAGGATATGAAACTCAACCAGCAGCAAGTGGAAAGCTGACCGTTTTTCACTGCAGGATGCAGTGCCTATGCACCACTTTTTCAAGCCACCCTGAAATTTCCATTTCCATAGCACAACCACATTAGCAGATTTGAACAAAAAATTGCCTGGACTGCTGACTATACAAGATGTCCTTTTCCTTCAGGAATTAAACCTCTCCATGGCCTTTTTCCTGCCTAGAGAAATACAACGTTTGTGCTACAGAAGCAATAGTATAACAATCGCAAAGAAGAAAAAAAATAACATTGAACAGAAAGTGTGAGGCAGGTGAGAGAAAAAAAAATGCAGTATGGTATACAAAATGTCAACATAATTAAGCTATATGAAAGTAAAAAGAAAGTCTAAATGCATACAGACCTCAAAAAGGAAAGACTAGAAAACACCTGAGAATTTACTGCACGCTCCCAGCCCAAAGTGGGATCAGTCAGAGTAGTGATGAAACCTGCCAGGCCACTGCAAGAACCTGAATGTTCTGTGCATAAAGGCACAGCTTCTAATGCAGAAAGAAATACTAGAAGGAAACTAACGATGGAGGCAACACGAGCACTATAGTAAGATTACTCCGTATCAAACTAACTAGATAAAACAAGAAATGCCACCATGAGAAAGTTTAGAAAGACAGCAAGGAAAAGCTAATTAAGAGAGGTCTGAAAGCGGTGTATCACAAGAAGTACTAAAAGACATGGGTAGCTTATTTGGCCATTGCAGCTATCTTTTCTCCCCTACTATTGAACATTTGTGGTTATCCAACCACTGGCCGTAATCAGCTTGGGAGTGCAAAATTCTCAGCTGGGCTAACAAGACTTACATAACTCTGTTATTAGAGCCCAAAAGTTTAGACCTGTGAGTTGATAAACCATGTTCAATTCTCACAACATCAGTTGATGCCTTTAAGATCAATGTGACAATTTTTTTCAACTTTTTCTTCTGAGCTTAATATTTTTTATTTTTAAATTAAGGGTAGGGAAATTCTCTTCACGGTGTAATGCTTTGCTACTGTATTTCAGTGTCAAAATAGAAGCTGAGATTCTGTATTGTAATATGGGACTAACTACACTGAAGTGCACCCACAATCTCACGATCACTTCTCCAATATACACAGCGTCCCTTGATATCATTCAAAACGAGACTGGCTAGTGAAAGAAAATTCATACTTCATACATGGGGTAAAAACATAACAGTGACAAGTCAAGGATAAGATGACTTTGCATTTAATCAATATGACAGCTGTGGTTTCCCTTGATTAAAACCCAAAAGGGGCACTTGTCTATGACCAGCACGCAAAACTCCTCAGGTTTCTCTCTAATTTGCATCAGCTTCAAGAAACCCCAAAAACAAAAGCTGCAGGACAGAGTTCATTCAACAAGCTTTTGTTATTCAGAACAAAATGTGCCCTACACGTAATTAAATATTTTACACACATTTATTCAACTGCCCAGATGGTATTTGCTTAGTCTATCTAAGTGCTTTCCAAGGACCTTCAGTATGTGAGAAAAAGTGATGGAGGAGAAAACTGAGCATCATTAATCCAATAACAACACAGAATCATGCCAAAAAGTTATGTAACTGCCAGTGAAAAATATAATAGTTTTGTTTTAAACAAACTACCTCAATAAACACATACTTGATAAAGAACATCCCTTACCCTTTCATTACCAGCTCTGCCTATTTCCTATAGGAAATGCACGTATCTCACAGTTTGTACATAGTTGGTCTGCAAGGTGGAACAGGTATGAAAAAGCAGAAGAGGCACAATAGACAGAACAAATTAAGATCTTCCAAAACTCTTTAAAAAATTGATAACATAGAACAAATAGAAAACTTCAGTGTCTCCCTTTCAGATGTTCTGGAGTAACCTCACATTCTATTAGTACATTGAACACAGAAGGAAATCCAGTTCACCTATTTTTCAGTAGACCC